ATAAGACAATTTTAATACCCTTTCTTGGCCAGTTCTTTAGCCCCTAGCTGTTGGCCATATCCTCAAGTGAAAATTAAATTACAAGCTCTATTCTAAACTTTACAAATATATATTCACTTTTGTGATCCCTTTCTTTCGAGGTACAGTCAAATCGATTCTCGTCTTTCTTTTTATACTTAAAAACACATTCTTTGCTCCACCTACCCCAGACCCGATTCTCTTCACCCATGTGCCTCTGTCATTCCAATAAACATTCAAGGAAGATATACCTTACTTTGTAAGCTAGGTTGTTTATTATTCCTCCTTGGTATTATTTGTCAATAATGATTATGATGTTCCTTCAATGTTAATCCTTTATTCCAGATATACACAAAAGCAATGATTATGAAGGGTGTTTTTTTAATTAACTTTCCAGCCTAGTGGAAGAATGTTAACATAACATAGGTCTCTGGCTTACTAAAACAGGTGGGGTCACAAATCCAATAGAAAACTGGTGTGAAATCAGTTGGAGTCGGCTGGGAAGGGGAAAGCAACTCACCACCAGCAGATTCCTCCAGAAGCTGTCCCATAAAAAAAAAAGTCCATGCACATGCAAACGCAAAGGATCTTATCAACAATGGAACAGAAGTAATGCTTAAACTTTTCAAAAACTTTCGCTTTCCTGCCTTATTATTAATCAGTTCAGTTTATTCATCTGATTAGGTTGTTATTGCTTCTGTGTCAAGATTCCAAGGAATAGTTCCTTCAAAACTAAATTTTAGTTTACTTTATCTATTAGGCAGTTGTTAAGTTGGTATAACCACTTGATTTGCTAAATCCTATTCATGTAATTTTGCTCCGGAAGGGATAGTTGAGTGGGTAGAGTATGATTCTCGTATCGAGATGGTCATAAGTTCAATTATTGCTAAATTTTGCTCCGGAAGGGATAGTTGAGTGGGTAGAGTATGATTCTCGTATCGAGATGGTCATAAGTTCAATTATTGCTAATATCTTCTCACTTTATCAGTTGAAGCCGTTGCACATGTCTTCCTAATGTGATTTGCGGGTTGTTACATAGGAGCAGAGTTTACTTAGTACATACCATCGAGTAGTGATAACTAGTTTTTCTTGTCTCGAGAAAAAAAGGAGCAATGTAAGTTTATACATAATTATTGTAAACCTATAACGTGTCTTGCATCTATCACTAGAGAAAACTTTGCACAGTGACTTGTATCTCTCTAATTATTAATTAACTTAATTGATACGGAGTATTAATTTGGCTTATATTGTATTAATCAAGAAAGATAGACGGGAAGGAAGATATGTATAAGTTTTGATTTTTTATTCAAATTATACCAAATAGAAGCTTTGGCTGTAAGACATTACTCTATTTTAACCCTATGTATGCAGACTTAATATTAAATTAAAAGACTCTATCTTAATTAAAAAAATATATAAACTTAGAGTTAGATTATACGATGTTAAATGAGTGGTCACAAGATTGAATTTTAGTAATTGTGATATTGATTTTTTAGACTGAAAAAGATTGAGAAAGTATAGAATAGATACTATCTTATAAAGAATCATGATTATTTCAATAGTATATATATATATATATATATATATATATATATATATATATATATATATATATATATATATATAATGCCGAACAACCTTTTCATAATTGTGTTTGCAAATATCATTATTTGGACCTCTAGATAAAGTCAATTGTGTGGATTTCGAAATTTTCATATTTCAATCCTAGAACTATTATTGTATCAATTCTTAACATGTGGCATGTGTTGTATAATTGTATATTACTATTTATATTTATTAGATGCAAATTAGCTTATACTACAATTCAAGTTAATCAATGAATATAGAAATAGAAGATTATATACAAAAAAAAAAAATTGTTTAATGGTTATTTATAAATTGATTCTATTGAGTCTCAAATTCTCAACCATTGCGAGATGTATCAAATTTGATATTTGTAACATTATCTAAAAAAAATTTTAAATGGCAACTTTATCTAAAAAAAAAATTAAATGGCAATTTCCACTATATTGAAAAGATTAAACTTATTTTGGTAAACGCTATATTTCAGACGATATTGTAAAAAGTTCTTTACAAATTTATATATATCTCAAACAATGTCTTAAATTTTATCTCAAATAATATAAATTCTATTATTTTCATATATTCATTTTTTAAAACTTATTACTGACTAATAAAATGAATCTATATATAATCTTTATGTATGTTTACAAGGTCCTGTAATATTACTAACAAACATAACATGACAACTATCATTGAAAGGATAATGGAACTGATTTTACTGCTTGTTCGTAAAGGAAAATAATCAATTTAAGGTGAGCATGTGCGACAAGCTGGTAGAATCAAATTCAAGACCATCTTAATACAAGAATCATGTTTTACTCACACAATTAATCCTTTTAAGGTTTCTCTTTTTTTTTTTTTTTTTTTTTTTGGAGTTTTTATTACGAGAGAAATTCGCAACCATACTTGATAGTATGTATGAGGTAAATCTCGCTCTTATAGAATGACCTGCAAATCACATAAGAGAAGTAAATCGTACTAGGACAATGATACGTGACGGGTTTGATCAATAGAATATTAGTAAGAATTAAACTCGTGGTTTTTTGTATAAAAATTATATTTTACCACTTATTTTAATTTCCTTTTATTCAATACGTAATGGGTACATGAAGGAAATATATTTTAATAAAATTATTACATTTTAAAGTCAATACTTAACCCCAAATAAAAATAAGAAAAAAGAACTACTTATGCGCAACCTACAAGCAAACTGCATCAGCACGGGTTTGCTTGTCTGTACACGTGGACAGATGGTGCATGCACAGTCGTTTGATCAATCAATGATCAATGATGATGACGGTTGACGACTTTTCCTAAAAAGCTGCAAAACTGAAGCTCAGGTTTTTTTCTTAAATTCTGAAAAAGTCAGTTCACCAATATTGACATTTGACAATAACGAATTCCCCATGCAAACTGTTCTATATACCTAACCACATGCACAAGTCTAGGGGCTTTCTGTCATTGCACAATTTGTGGACTATAATTAGCTTTATAAATTGTCCAACATTAAATTATTGCCAATTATATCCCGCCAAGTATTACAATAATAACCAAAATTATTACTCCTTATAATAATGACTAAATAACTTTTAAAAAATGTTATTTTTGTAGCGAATTGAAAGAAATGGTTGAGTGTGTAGAACGCGATTTATATACCAAAAATTCACAAGTTAGATTTTTATCGATATATATTCCCAGTCAAATTTATTGCACAAGACCTTCCTAATATGATTTGGAGTGAGATTTACCTATGACATATTCTTAAATAAGTGGTAGTTGTTTGTTTTCCTATCATCCAAAAAATGTATGTTATTCTTTCCTATTAAGGTGTTATTACTATTTTTTTTTAAAATGTTGATTGATTGTTATGAAATGTATATATATCTTTTTTATTTTAATCTCTAACATGACTGAAAATATTTCTAAAATTACAATATTTTAATTTTAATACCTAATAATAACTCTTGATCTAGTTGTAGCACTCAACATTTATCTACTTTTTTTTTTTTTTTTTTTTTTTTTTTTTTTGAGAATCTCAACATTTATCTACTCCTCTTAGCAAGTAGATAAGAATTTTTTTTTTTTTAAATAATTATATATAAGAAAGATTAAACGAGTATATATAATATATTTGTACAAAATTGATCTTACTCAATTAACATAATTATATAAAGGTAAAGATCAACTTGTGCGAATTGAGTGATATTTTTTCTTGATTGTGCATGCGTAGCTAGATTGGATTACAATATATACTTTGATTCTCCTCTCAAGGGGATTTGGTATGCAGCCATTAGGATAATGGATATTATTACCTTTTTTATTTGGCTTAAATTAGCTTGTTTTCAGTTCTAACTTGTGACCTCCGATCCTAATCGAGAGAGTCATAATTATGTTGTTTGATCGCAAGATCATTAGCAAGTGAAACATCTGTTTAATTATGAAGCTAAGTAAAATCAAGTTATAAATTAAACTAGTTGGCTAATGTACCTCTATGTTATGCATGATCAAGAGTTTTGGTTGTTGGTTCACCCTTTGAGAAAATCCTTTTAGATAATTCATAATGGCTTGGAAATCGCTTGTCTTAGTAGAATACGTCCTAATGATGGAATAGATTCTTTCTATTGATCAGGTCGAGTATCTCTAGCTTACGAAGAATCAATATAAGTAATATCCCCGTACATGACTTTATGGTCTAGTGACACAAGTAACTTTTTCATATAGGAGATTATATTATGGGTTCGAGCTTGGAGTGATATTGACCAATAGTTATGCCGTGGAATCATGTTCACCATGCGCATGGTGAACACGTGATACATCCATAATTTCTAAACTGTAAATTCATAATTTTTATACTGTAAATTCATAACATCTATACTGTAAATTCATAATTTCTATACCGTACTGTAGATTCATAATTTCTATACTGTAGATTCATAATTTTTGTACTGTAGATTCATAATATCTGTATTGCGAAGACGGAATAATGCAATTGCGAAGAGAGAAACATCGTTAACAACAAATGAAAAACAAAAATTATAAATTTACAGCATAGAAATTATGGATCTACCCATGTGTTCACCATGCGCATGGTGAACACGTTTCCACAGCATAATTTGCGGGTATTGACTCTTTATACTTCAGTAAATTCCATGAGAAAGTAATTATGAACAGAAATACTTCATTGTAACAGAGTCACTAGTACTAAAAAAAAACAATATCCCCACATGCATTTCCCAAATTGCCCCTGCCCAATTGTGCCTAACCTATAGTACCTCCTTTAACCACTATCATTAAACAATTTCTATAATCCATGAATCAATCATCTCTAAGTACTCTCTCTCTCTACCCCTTTCAAAAAGGCACTATCCCTCTCTCTCTCTCTCTTAATGCCATATATATACCCACTACTATCTACACGCAAACATAAACCTTAACGGCTTAACCCATCCACAGTGTCTTCAACATTTTCTTCCCGCAGACAAAAAGCATGGCGGTTCCGCCTTATCTCCTCCACTCCTCCGCCTTCTTCCTCATCGCCTTCCTCTCCTACACGGCGGCGGCGTTTGACGTAACCACCACCCCTTTCGACCAAGGCTTCACCACTCTCTACGGCGAATCCAACATCCTCCGCTCCACCAGCGACGACTCCGTTCGCCTCCACCTCAACCACTTATCAGGCAAGCTCTCTCTCCGATCATCACCATCTATTATCTCATCCCTGAAAAAAACCCTAATTCTACTCCCCAACTAAATAAAGATACTAGTTCCCCAACTTATTTTCATCTCCCATAACCGGAATTTCTGCAATCATATCCCTACCATATAAACTTGTCAATAAAAGTGATCGGATTTTGGGAAACTTTACCGTGTAATATGATATGATGATCCATGCATCTATATGCAGGTTCTGGCTTCCGCTCTTCTGATCTATACAGCCATGGCTTCTTCAGTGCCAAGATAAAGCTCCCATCGGACTACACCGCAGGAATCGTGGTTGCCTTTTATGTATGGATAGTTTCATCATCAATTTAAACTTTTAACAGAAATTAAACATATTTTGATTGTATAGTTTCACTATCAGTTTAAAATTTTAATGGATACAGAACACGTTTTGATTGTAGAATTTCACTATCAATTTAAACTTTTAACCGAGACAGAACATATTTTGATTGAGAATTATGATGAATTAACTCCATGATTGATGGATGATATATAATCTGATGTTTTTTTGGGCGGTAGACGACGAACGCGGACGTGTTTGAAAAGACGCACGACGAATTGGACTTTGAATTTCTGGGAAACGTGAAGGGGAAGCCATGGCGGTTCCAGACGAACATGTATGGGAATGGGAGCACGAGTAGGGGAAGGGAAGAGAGGTATTTGCTGTGGTTTGATCCGTCCAAAGAGTTCCACCGCTACAGTATTCTATGGACCAACCAAACCATCATGTGAGTATATATATATATATATATATATATATATATATATATATATTGCAATGATTAGTGTTTCCATTTTCTGCCTAACTACCATTGAAATTTAGAGATTGTGGGCTGTGCTGCACATGAAAGTTGACCTGTTCAATTCATTGCTTTAAGTCACCTCTCTACTGTTCAAGAATGGCTGCATATTTATGGTATAGACTTTGAGGAGATATATGATCACATGTAAACTTATTGTGATTTAAGGAAAAAAATTAATTAAAATCTATCTCCATTTATATGTGGCACTATTATATTTGGGATAATGGTGCTTAATTCTAGGAATGGCAAGACATTCAAATAATTATTAGTTGGTTTAATTTGAGTAAATAATTAATGGTAATATATATATATATATATATATATATATATATATATATATATATATATGTGTGTGTGTGTGTGTGCGTGCGCGCGCACTACTTACCCTAAATTATTTAATTTTAAAAAAATTTGTACCTTTTGTCTAAAAGTTATAAGGTAATAATGAATTTAATTTTTGTGTTTTTTATCAAAAGTCCTCAACATATTTTGGGTGGAACATGTCTTGTGACCTAACAAACACAAGAAGATAGATTAGTCTAGTTTACCCATATTAGGATAACTTTGACAGGATTGAGTTGATTCCACCAGAGGTCTTTTGTTTTTTGTGATAATTTCAATTTTAGTCTCAGACTATCATTTTTGTCATTTAACATCTCAGACTATTATTTTTAGACATATTTTCCTATATTTAGTAAGGACATTTTTGTCTTTATATATATATATATATATATATATATATATATATATTATTCTCTGACTTCAATCGGTTTGCTTGAGTTTGATGGTTTAGGGCTTTAGTTAACCGGAATTTGGAATGGTTACTGAACCCCACCTATCCAATCAACTTGGTTGGGATTGCGCATAAGTGCCACCACTCTATTATTATATTATAATTCAGAGTAAAAAGTTAAATTTTCTTATACCCTTATTTGTTGATAGTTATGCATTACATTTAATCTTGATGCTTAATTACATGCAGATTTTACATAGATGATGTTCCCATTAGAGAGATGATACGAAACGAAGCCATGGGGGGAGACTTCCCACAAAAGCCGATGGGCCTATACGCCACCATCTGGGACGCTTCCGACTGGGCCACTTCCGGCGGAAGGTACAAAGTCAACTACAAATACGCTCCCTTCGTGGCCCACTTCACCGACCTCGTCCTCCGCGGATGCGCCGCCGATCCTTTACAGGAGGTCGTCGGCGAGCACCCCGGGGTCGGCGGCTGCGACGACCGCCGCGAGCTGGAAGGAGCCGATTTCGCTAACGTGACTCCGAAGCAAAGAAGGGCCATGAAGAGGTTCAGACAGAAGCACATGTACTACTCCTACTGCTACGATTCCGTGAGGTACGCGGTGCCGCCGCCGGAGTGCGTGATTGACGCGGCGGAGAGGCAGCAGTTCAAGGAGACCGGGCGGCTGAAGTTCGAGAAGCGCCACCACCGCCGTGGCAAGAGATCGTCGAGAAGTGAAGTGTTTGAGAGAACCAACTATGGGAGTAACCAAGACGAAGACTAATTATACTTACAGAGTTACAGAATATATATATATATATACTTGATCGATTGATTTTTTTTTTTTTTTGAAAATAATTTTTATGGGATTGAATTTATTTGGATTTGGTTAATTATTGTCAACTAAGAGAGAAAATTTGCCTCATTTTCTTGTGTAAATAAATAAACAATTACATTATCACTTACATAATTAGTAGTTTTTATTGCGATAAATACGTAATTTAAATATTGTACTGCGCAATATCTACTATCTAGTATATATACTAATAAGAGCCCAAGAGTTAGGCTTATAATGGGTAGAAAAAATGACGGTTAAATTTTTTAATCGCTCAGATTGATCATATTTTAATTTTTCCTTAAGATTTTCTAATTTATCCTAAATGAATATGATTATCCGTTAACTTTTCCGTTAAATATTATCTTTTCCGTTAATTTTTGTTAGTTCACCGTTAACTTACTCATTGATTCCAATAAGAAAGGTCTTAGGTTCGAACCACATCCCAATCAAAGTTGACATAAATAATAATTTAGTAGCTACAACAAAAAATAATACATATGCATTTCTTTAATTTAGAATAATGTGTCTACAATTTCTTTATTCAAAAAAATTATTCATTATCAATAAATTAAATAAGAGAAATAATTTCATTAGTTATATTGTCTTTATTTTTCTCTACCATACAAATTCTTTACATTCAAATTCATCAATTGATTATATCCAGTGCATTATCTCTACAATGTCTTTATTAAAAAAAATATTCATTATCAATAAATTAATTAAGAGAAATAATTTTATTAGTTATATTGTCATTATATTTCTCCAATGTAAAAATTCTTTACATTCAAATTCATCAATTGATTATATTCAGGACATTGTCTATTATCTTTATTGTGCACTATTTTTTAATTAAATATCAAAGTTATAATACAAAATAATGCTATATATTTATTTACCAAGTATTTAATTTATTAATACCATGAAAAAATTTAAAAATATATATAATTAATAAAGCCAATCATATTAACTACTTGAAGGATTTGTTGACAAAGAGAGTATTCAAATCACACAACAAATTAAATTGGAAACTATCTCGCAATGTTCTTGTTTGACAATCAGCAGTTAGCGGTTAGCGTTAACGGATTATATTAGTGGATTTGACCAGCGAATTATATCAACGATTGGTAAACAGATATTTGAAAAAATTAGTTGTTTAGATTAACATGTAAAATGACCTAAGGGTATACATATATTTAATAATAATAATAATAATAATAATAATAATAATAATAATAATAATAATAATAATAATAATTGTTTTGAAAAAATAAAAAAATAAAAAATATAATTAAGCCAATCATATTAAATACTTTGGGGATTTATTGACAAAAATAGTATTCTAATCATACAACAAATTGAAGTGGGAAACTACCTCGCAATGTCCTTGTTTGACAATCAACAGTTAGCTTTTCAATATGAGTATATATTTAATATTTTATGCCCTAATTTTTATTTGCTCTCCCTTATGTCACGTATTTGGTTTCAACCATACCTATACAATTATTTTATTGAAAATTATAATCAATTTTGACTATATTATCTTACATTTGTAAACTTAGAATTACCTATTTAAATATGCAAATTCAACATTCAATTATCTATGCATGAACAATTCTAATATAATCTTGCCTTTATATACTTTAAAGTACTTATTTTAAAAAACATTGGGTATTATCCCAATCGCGCGGTGCGCGTAAAAAAACTAGTATATTGCTATAAGCGCAATTATGAGGGTTTTTGGCTGAAATAGGAATGAGTTTAGGGTGATTGACAATAATAGGAATGAGATTTTTTTTTTTGACAATAAAGGGAAAACCGAGTTTGGAAAACGCGATTGGGTTGAAAATCGCATTTTTCAAACTCGGTTGAGCTTAATGGCCACGCCAATATCAGCCGCATTTGTCAAATGCGGCTGTAGTATAATATATACACAAATACGCATTCCGAAAGTGCATTCCTTGTATAATACGAATACCGCATTTCTCAAATGCAGATATGTTTCCGCCTTTCCACCGGAGCCGAAGATAAACTATGGAGACCGAGGAAATCACTTCAACCCAACTATCTAATTTTCTACCATCATCTTCTTCTCTGCGCCAAACAAATTCCCGGTCAGAAAAACTATCACTCCAGGATTTCGAGAAATCAGTTTTAAAAAAAAAAAATCAATAGAAATGCAATACCTTTCTAGTGTGTTGTGCGCGATTGTGCTGAGATCCTGTGCTTTCTGAGAGCCCCTGGAGCTGTCGGGAATCGAGAGAATTCCGAAAGCGAGGAGCATTAAAACGACCAAATAGAGAATTACAAATACGGTGAAAGCGGTGGTCGCCGACGAAGCCGTTTTCCGTGGGAGTCCTCGGCCGTATTTCCCCTTCGCCATTGTTACAGCGTAAGCCAGAAGCATATCCGCATTTCCCGGTATAATATACGACAACCGCGTTTCTCAAATGCGGTTGTAGTATACACAAATACGCATTTGGGAAACGCGGTTGTCGTATATTATACTACAGCCGCATTTCCCAAATGCGGCTGATATTGGCGTGGCCATTAAGCTCAACCGAGTTTGGGAAATGCGGTTTTCAGCCCAACCGCATTTTCCAAACTCGGTTTTCCCTTTATTGTCTAAAAAAAAATCTCATTCTTATTATTGTTAATCACCTTAGGCTCATTCTTATTTCAGTCAAAAATCCCAATTATGATGGGGTCCGGTCCGTATGAACGATATTTCAAACTACTTATTAAATGGGCATATTATTTCTTATGGTGATTTTATCCAAAATATATATTCGGAATAGTAATTACATATTATTTTTTCCGTAAAGATATATGTGTCTTTTACTACTAAACTATAAAGGGACAAGAAGAAAATTACAAAAAGATGGACACACTTACATTAAATTTTAAAAAGTAAATAAAAATGTAAGGCCCTTATAATTTAGAATATAAATAATAGATTTTAATTTTTTTTTTATATATCAAGGAAGGGGGAGACCCAAAAGTATAACAAAGTTTACAAAGAAGAGCACACATTACGCCAGGCAGGGAAGCCAGCCCTATCATCCTCTAATAATCGTTCTATTTCCGGTGGAGGTTCCGATAGCAAACATAAACCGTTATGTTGCCACTTAGAGGCTCTAGCTAAGGCATCGGCAGGCCGGTTCAACTCGCGTGGGATGGCTGTAACCTACCAAGAGGAGAAGGAACGGAGTTCCTTCTTACAAGCTTCGAGTATATTATGCGCGGCAATGCACGGGGCTCTGGTTGCATGAAGGTACGCTACTGCTTCTGCAGAATCAGATTCAATAAGGACATGTTTGAAGCGTAAAAAACTGGCGAGTTGAATCCCCTTTAGCAGCGCCCAAGATTCTGCTTCAAGAGGAGAGCATTTACCAACTGGCGATATGAAGCCTTTAATCCATGATCCATTATGATCTCTGACGACTCCACCACAACCGGCTAAAAGGGAATGCAGCATAACAGAACCATCAACATTAAGCTTTATAGTACCTATAGGAGGTTTTTCCCAACTAACCTTTGACCAAGCTGTGAGTTCTTTTGAATTTAGGAGGCCCTTTGCTCTGGCGAAGGCTCTATTGATCTCCTCAACTTGAAGTTTAATCAAGGATGCCTTAGCTGACAAAGGTTTGATGGAGCCGCTGAAGATTGCCTCATTGCGCCACTTCCAGATCCACCACATAACCACTGCAAAAATAGTGCTGTCGCTGGAAGGGGCTCTGCCGTGATTAGACATAGAAATTCCTTCATCCAGCCAACTCAAGAGGGGTTTCGATCAGAGTTTTTCATGTACAGATGGTAAGAAGAGTCTTCAGATTTCCTCTGCAGCTGGGCAGAAGCGTAGAGCATGATCAGTATCTTCAACCAGATCTTCACAAAGCCAGCAGTTCGGCTGAGGAGTTAGGCCCCGCTTGAGACGATTGAAATTAGTCATAATCCTATCATGTCTGACGAGCCAAAGGAAAGTGCGAATACGATTTGAAAGTTTTAACTTCCATATATTATTCCACTTAGTTGCATCTAAGGATATCTCAACATTTCGTGACATATCATACGCAGAACTGATTGAAAAATTCCCGTTAAGACCTCCAGTCCAGCTCGTTAGATCCCCTAAGTCCGAATCCTCGTGAAGGAAGAAACCAGCTAATAGATTTTAAATTTAATCTTCATCATCTATTTATTTTATAGAATGACAATCTCTTTTTTTATTTATTTTTTTTTTTTATTTTTATTTTTTTTTTTCTTCTTTAAAAAAAAAATTCCGGAAGTGACGATCATATGACATTGAAAACTAAAAACAAAATTAACTATTTTAAATCTCTAATAAACAATTTTTTAATATATACTGTAAAAATGACTCTAAAAATAAACCACCTATATAAATAATAATAGTTACACTAGCAATATACTTAGGATGTGTTTAGTTCATGAGTTTATAGGCAAATTATGTTGTGCATTCGTGTGCACCATGCATGATGCACACGGAAGCAAAAACGACGTCGTTTTACTTAAATAAAAAAAAAATCATTTTCGATTGCCGTTAGTTACGTAAACATATGTTCATAATTTTATAATTTCACATTCTGAATTTATAGTTATGAAATTATAGATGTGAAGTTATGCAATTCTGAATTTATAGTTATGAAGTTATGGATGTGTAGTTATGCAATTCTGGATTTATAGTTATGAAATTATGAATTTGTAGTTATGCAATTCTGAATGTATAGTTATGAAATTATGGATGTGTAGTTATGCAAAATTCTGGATTTATAGTTATTGATGTGTAGTTATGCAATTCTGGATGTATAGTTATGGATATGTAGTTATGCAATTCTGGATGTATAGTTATGAATTAGTTATGGATGTGTAGTTATGCAATTCTGGATTTATAGTTATGAAGTTATGGATGTATAGTTATGCAATTCTGGATGTATAGTTATGGATGTGTAATTATGCAATTCTGGATTTATAGTTATGAAGTTATAGATGTATAGTTATGCAATTCTGGATGTATAGTTATGAAGTTATGGATTTGTAGTTATGCAATTCTGTTTTTTATTTTTATTTTTTATAAGTCGGACGTCAAAACGACGTCGTTTTTGTAACCGTGTGCACCATGCACAACATAACGCTCCTGAGTTTATACACTATGAATGAGATTATGAGAATCAAAATAATAGTTAGTGTTTGATTGACAACTTTTTAAAACAGAATTATGAGATTTGATTACTCCTTTAATTAATTAATTAAAAATCACATTCTCTAATTATCGGTTTGGATTAGTAATTTTAGATTTTTGTTTTGATTTTTTTTTCATATTGATGATTTGAATGTCATTATATTAGGATCAACTGTCTTAATTTTTTATTTTATTTTTGTATTTTTAAAACATTTATGTAAAATACTTTCACCAAAATTCATTATCATTATTAAGTATTTGATTACTATTCTGATTCTGATTCTGATTCACAGGTGGAAACCAATTCAAACACACCCTTACTAATCCTCTTATTTCTTAATAGACTTAGAGCATCTACATCAATGAATAATAGAGAATTAATGTCAGATTAAATCACTTGGGTGGAGTTATTCACAAGTGTGGGATGAGGTTAATAGATGAAATAATCTTCCTGCAAGTTAGAAAATAATGTCAGAAATTAAAGAAAAAGAAAAAGTGAAAGAAATGAATGCTGTGCGCGAAACGCGCACAGCAGGGCCATAAGCCTGGCGAGGTGGCGCGCCAGTCGGCGCGCCTGACTTACAATTTTTTATTTTATTTTTATTTTTTTTTAATTCAGTTTTGTTTTATTTTATTTTTTTTTCTCTCCCCTCCCACCTTCTCTTTCCTAATCACTCTTACATTATCTCCATATTCTTCCCAACTAATGTGGATGCTCTTATAAATTTTGTGAAATCCTTTTCTTTTTTTAATACTTATACAAGGTCTCACACACACACACACAAGATTTTTAAAGAAATATATTTTAATTAAAATAGGACTGAAATTCGGAAACTGTAATTGAATTCAATGAATTAATGATTAATATTATTTGTTGAAGTAATTGTAATTCTCCAGGGGCATCGGCCATCATCGTAGCACTCACAACTCTTTTAACTTTAGTCTGTTGTGAGCTGTAACGCCGTGCGAGCGCCACCATCGGAGGCCCGATTTGCGACGATCACAGCCGTTCGCCGTTAAGCATGACGGAGTTTCTGGAGCTGGAAGCTCAAGATGCGGTGCGGATGCCGTGGAACGTCTTGCCGGGGACGAAATCCGAGGCGGCGCAATGCGTGATTCCGGTCTCCGCCATCTACACTCCCTTAAAACCCTTCCCGGACCACCCGGTCCTCCCCTATGCTCCGCTCCGCTGCAGGAACTGCCGATCGGTGCTCAATCCCTTCTCCGTCGTCGACTTCTCCACCACCAAGATGTGGATCTGCTGCTTCTGCTTGCAGCGCAACCATTTCCCCGCCAATTACCAGTCCATCTCCGACACTAACATGCCCGCCGAGCTCTTCCCTCAGTACACCACAATTGAATACGAGAGCGCCCCCGAGAGAGCCGCCGTCACTAGCCCTGTCTTCCTCTTCGTCATCGACACCTGCCTCATTGAGGAGGAGATTGGCTTCCTCAAATCCTCCCTCTTACAGGCATCCACTTCTCGCTCTCTTCGTTTTTGTATATGTGTAGATACGCAATACATAGGTGTGCTTGTGTTTGCTTGTTCAATTATTGGCTTACTTTTTTGAGATGATAATATATGGAGCTAAGGTAGGATGTATAAATTCGGATACTTGGGAGTAGATACACCAAAATTGTTCATAGAATCATAGACTAGATAGTTCATGTTTGTTAAATAAGACAGGAAAATTGTTGTGGGCTTATTGGGGAGTTCGAGATTGATTTGCAAAAGATGAATACTTGAAACCAATATAGTAGCAACAAATGAATTTTGAATTGTATTAAAACAGCACTATCCATAAGGCAGTAAAGGTGCCTGTGCTATGTGACTTGTGAGTGTAAGGTTGGTGTTAGAGGGTTTATGACTATTACAATTTGTTAGCTAAGTTGGAATTGTAACAGTATGGTTTTGTCTACCATTTTTCCTTGAGACAGTTATACAAATGTATGCATGCACTTGTGCTTGTATAGATAGTGGAGAAATGCTGTGGAGGTAGATTCATGGATGTTGTATAGAATGTTGTGATAATTGTAGATTTCTTGGGAATATTTTTATACAAAATTTTATGACTTGTGACTGTATCACACCATGATATTTTGTATTCTAACATCGGACTAGAGTAAATTGTGATATGTGAACCACTTCATTTTTTGTTAAATATGCGATTCTTAAATTGAGAAACTAGCTTCATTTGGATTTATCTCAATATGTTCCTTTTCATATTCATTTGTTGGAACAGTGAAGAGATTTATTAGTAGCATTTTTTTTCCCCAATTCAGCTCATTTTTGTTCTTAAATGTCACCTTTTTTCTTCATGGCAGGTGTTAGGCACATTGCCTGAGAATTGCTTGATTGGGTTAATAACTTTTGGTTCATATGTTCAAGTTCATGAGCTGGGCTTTGGGCAGATTCCAAAGGTTTATGTGTTCAAGGGGTCGAAGGAGATCACTAAAGACCAAATTTTGGAGCAGATGGGTTTCTTTATCAAGAAACCAAAACCAACTACTGGGGTTATTGCAGGTGCAAGAGACGGGCTTTCACAGGAGAGTATTTCAAGGTTTTTGTTGCCGGCATCAGAGTGTGAATTTACACTCAACTCAGTATGTTCCTTCATTCCACTTTGCATGTCTGTTTGTATGTGTTATGCAAACATTGAAATTCACTAGCATACTTTAATTCTATATAGAAACTATTGGAGCTTGTGGTACGGTGGTTCATTTCTTTCTCAATCATTGTGTATTTTCTTAATGGCATTGGTAAATGCATGAAAAAAGGTTTGATATGTTCACCTTTAATAACATTCACAGATGCCTAGGTTGTTGGTATATTTGTTTTTCTATAATGAGTGGAGATATAGAATCTATGTAGTCACCTAGATGGGATATAAGGAGTGAATTGAAATCTATAATGAAATTTTCTTTTCCAATTCAGTCTCTAAAATTTTGTACTCAAGAAGTATGATATGTTATAAGCCCCATAGTGTGATATTATGCATTCTCACATCTATACTTTTTTTTTTACTGTGTTAGATATTGGAAGAGCTTCAAAGAGATCCTTGGCCTGTGCCTGCAGATCAACGAGCAGCTAGGTGCACTGGCACTGCATTGAGTGTGGCTGCTCATTTGTTGGGAGTATGTGTTCCTGGTTCTGGGGCCAGAATCATGGCATTTCTAGGTGGGCCCTCAACAGAAGGGCCAGGTGCTGTAAGTCTTTCTCTCCATTTTTTGGATTTTAAGTATCTGAACTATGCTAGCATTGAATTACCCTGTCTTTGAATACTGCAGATTGTTTCAAAGAGCCTGTCTGAACCTATACGGTCCCACAAGGATTTAGACAAAGATTCTGCCCCATTATATCACAAGGCTGTAAAGTTTTATGAAGTACTTTCAAAGCAGCTTGTACACCAAGGACATGTACTTGACGTCTTTGCTTGTGCTCTGGATCAGGTAGTTTCCTTCTCTATTATCAACTGTAAAATACTTTCTTGGACATCCCAGATTGTTCAGCAAATTTCTTTAAATGGTTATAATTTTCATATTATGCAATACTGTTTTTGTCACATTGAGCATTCTTCACATATGTTAGGTTGGGCTTGCTGAACTTAAAGTAACAATTGAAAAGACTGGAGGGATTGTTGTTTTGGCGGAAAGTTTTGGCCATAAAGTTTTCAAGGAGTCACTAAGAAAAGTATTCAAGTCTGGAGAAAATGATCTGGGACTATCCTCAAAGTAAGGCTTCATCAAGACCTCTTTGTTTTTAACTTTGCATTGTGAAATTAAGTTGATGTTTTGGATGGTCATCAATTTGTTTCTTTCTACCAGCAATTAGGATCTCTTTTGCTATGTTCAATAGTCGGGGTCTTAATTTTATTTTTTTAAAAACGAAATTTCATAACCTTTTATTGTCATTTAAAGGATCTTCCTGTTTATTTATATTATTCATTTTTATATGTGTACTAATAACCTGTTTTGACATGTCAGTATAACACACACACACACAAACTTCTATATTTTTGGATAAAGTGGCATGTCAGTATTATATTTGATAAACCCACTTCTATTTTTGCTTCTGGTTTTTTAAGCATATTTTCTTTATCCCCTCTCCGATTATATTTTACCATTATTTTAAGTCAAATTCTAATTTTGCTTGTATGCAGTGGCATTTTTGAGGTAAATTGCTCAAAAGATATCAAAGTTCATGGAGTTATTGGTCCTTGTGCATCACTTGAAAAGGTATACTTCCAGTTTTGCAAGGTCTATTTTTACATAAATGTCTATTGGATTTCAATTTGTTTGTCCTTTTGCAGAAAGGTCCTCTGTGCTCTGAAACTGTTATTGGTCAGGGAAATACCACAGCATGGAAGATGTGTGGTCTTGACAGAACTACATCCTTATGTTTAGTGTTTGAAATTAGCAAGAAGGAGAACCCAGATGCTATTGCTCAATCTGCGAACACGCAGTTTTATTTCCAGTTCTTGACTTAGTATGAATTTCTATCAATTGTTCATTGACAAAATATGTGCAGCTTCTTTCACATTGGCGTATTAAACTTTTTGACTTACTAAGGATGTTTTGCAGTTATCAGCATACAAATGGACTAATGAGGCTTCGTGTTAGTACCCTCTCCAGAAGATGGGTTGCTGGACCTGGAAGCATACAGGCAAGTTTTCACTGCTGCCTCTGCTGCTTTTTATAAGTTTATTGGATTCATTAGTGTTACTTTACTTCATTTTGTTTGATTGGTGATCTTATATTGGCACATCATACATCTGTGCAACTATCACAAACTAAAAATAAAAATACATATATGTATGTATAATAAAAGAAACAAGTAGATATGGCTAATTTACTTTGTCCTTCAAGTAATAACCTGTATGCTGTATTCTTTAGGAACTAATTGCTGGATTTGATCAAGAAACTGCTGCTGTAGTAATGGCACGCCAAGTTTCTTTCAAAATGGAAACTGAGGTACTCCTTATCTGACAAAGCAGTTAAAAGCTTTCCTGTTAGATTTATTTATTTATTTATTTTAAAGAGATGGGTGCAATTTTGATGTTATTGTTTTGCTGTTATTTGAATCTTGCTCTGCTTTTCCTCAACAATGGATTCCTTGAAATCTTAAGTTTCTTTACTGTTCAGGCTGAATTTGACCCTATAAGATGGCTGGATAAGTCATTGATACATATGTGCTCCCGATTTGGTGACTACCAAAAGGACAGTCCTTCATCTTTTAGTCTTTCTCCTCGTTTCTCAATATTTCCACAGTTTCTATTTCATCTACGGCGTTCTCAATTTGTTCAGGTAAGTGCCAATGCTTCTATTTCACTTTAGAGTCTACACTTTGCTCATTTATATCCCGTTATGAACTTAGTTCTGATTCCGTGGTTTCAAATTTAGGTCTTTGGCAATAGCCCAGACGAGACAGCTTATTATAGAATGATTCTGAACCGGGAAAATGTTTCAAATTCTGTTGTGATGATTCAACCCTCTTTAATCTCCTACTCCTTCCATTCTGTCCCCGAACCGGTTCTTCTTGATGTGGGCTCAATTGCTGCTGATAGAATTCTTCTTTTGGATTCTTACTTCACTATTGTTGTATTTCATGGATCAACCATTGCTCAATGGCGAAAAGCTGGATACCATGAACAGCCTGAACACCAGGTAGTCTTTACACCTTTATACTGTCATCCAATGGTCCCAAGTGTGGTCTATGGATAATGCATCTTTGGACCACTTGTATAATTGTGCCATTTTTTGCTAGGTTATCTCTCTAGAGTTTTTTTTTCTTTTCTTTTTTTTTTTAATTGTGATTATGTTTTTGTAATCTAGTAATATAGAAGTTCCTCGGCTCTGGTATAAAATTTCTACCTACCTTAGTTGTGTAAATGCTTTTACAATAAGTAGGTTCACTAGGATTAGTGTCTTAAGTTATGATTACGCATCTTAAAACTGCATAATCTTAATCTTCCCGATTTTACAGGCATTTGCTCAGTTATTGCAAACACCTCGGGAGGATGCAGAATCAATTATACGAGACAGATTCCCAGTGCCTCGTCTGGTCATTTGCGATCAGCATGGATCCCAGGTAAATTACTGTTTATACAAGTTATCTTTTACTTCAAGGCTGCTTTACGTGTAAACATGTGTAATTTTATTGATATACTTCGTATTTACTGTCTGTTATTTATTTTTATATCACCATTGCTATATTCCTAGCTTTTGTAACCCCCACCAAAAAATAAAAGATAAACGAAGAATCCATGGAAGTAGCAAGCATCTTGGATGCATAAACTTTAACAGACCCTTGGAAGTAATGCAATTTACGAAAGCATCCTTTCTTTGTATTAGTAATTGGAGTTGTGAAATGATGCAGGCTCGGTTTTTGCTTGCGAAGTTGAATCCTTCGGCCACATACAACTCAGATGCCCCTCCTGTTCCCGGAGGTGATATCATATTCACCGACGACGTTAGTTTTGAAGTGTTTTTGGATCATCTTCAGCGGTTGGCAGTTCAATAGAAGGAACTATTCTTACATTACATCTCCAAGAGGTTAGCAGTTATGATACAAACCCAACCGATTTTGTAATATTTTTGTTTGAATTGACTGTGTACAGTAATACATAAAAGACCTTTTTTAATTTAATTGCTATTTCAGCTTGGATCTGTTAGTGGAAAAAAGAGAGAGATTGTAATGCAGCTTCTATAGCTTTGTCTCAATAATATAGACAAGTGAAATATGCAGATTTGGTACCAGATTTTGTTCAACATTTAACATTTAACACTTAACACCATCACCATTTCATAATAATAATTATTTTGAAGTGTTTTTGGATCATCTTCAGCGGTTTCTATGCTATCTAGTTTCTTATCGCAGGACAAGTGAATGGGGTGGGAATAAAGTTTGGGGTGTTGTGTAAGATCCCATTCACTGCATGTTTGGTTGGATGTAATTGAATTGCAATTATAACATAATTCGTTGAGCCTTTCAATTACGCTGTTTGGTTTAAGGGAATTAGTTCCTTCCATTTGTGAAATTAGAATTCGTAGGGCTCTCCTAAATTTCAATTCAGTGCAACATGAAAAAGGGAAACAATATGAAATAACTACGTCACCCATGATTATTATTACTATTATCAGGGACATTTAGTCTTTTCTTTTCAATTTTCATAAATTTTATTCATGCCTGCCAAACAGGTCAAGTTTATCAAAAGTAAACTGTACTTTTAGAAATATAGAGAAGATACAAAACAAAATGGTTAAGAAAAGGATTCATTAAAGTTGGAATCGTATACTTCCCCAACTTTTATCAAAAACGAAAATCGAAACAAGAATATTATTATATTGTACTTATTAAAGTTAGCGATCACTTGTTCTTTAGCAATTCAGTTGGAATCTCCTGCTTAATTCATCAAGGTTCATGTAACATAAAAGTAAAGTTTTATACTCTAATATATTGAGAGGAAAAACAAAAATCTCAAGAGAATTAGTCTCGTTCACATTTCAAATGGACCACCACATGAACACTAAGGAAAACCTTCATACAATCATTCATTCATTCATGCTACCAAACTAAAGCCATTATATGTTAATATAACACTAAACTACACTACACTAATTCTTGTGTTCAGACTTCAGACATATATCTTTATTTGCAGTAATTATTGCTACCATATAAATTGAGTGAGTTAATGGTTATTCTAAGGACCCTTCAAGAAAGTTGCCATTCAATCTTTCCTGGATGGAGGTTATCTTATCACCTTGTGACATACCATCCTGTAATTACACAATCTGCAATTATCCCACAAAAAAATACAAAATAACATCAGGCTTCATTCACTCATCCATTTTTCACCATTTCTAATCATGTAAACATTATTTAATCTATGGGGCAACATAACCCCAGCCAGGTTCGTCTGTTGACTTGGTAACCATAAAGTTACAAGTTCGACTCCTACCAGAAGAAACGGCCTATTGGCCTTCTTAGTTTGAGCTGATCAGCTATGTACGACCAATGCTAGTTTACCTCCTTGTCGTCACAAGGCGGAGCCAGGTTGGTCTGTTGACTTGGTGACTATAAAGTTACAAGTTCGACTCCCACTGGAAGCGGCCGACTGGCCTTCTCAGTTTAATCTAATCAGCTATGTACAACCAAGACTAGTTTTTACATCTTTGTGGTCATAAGGCGGGGTACGGTTAAGTTTACCCAGTGCACACCCTCGGGTAGTGGTAGCGGGCAGGGTTTCCCTTGGTCACTCAGATTATTTAACCTATGGGTAAATCAAGAAAATTACCAGACATTGAATGGCTTCCATCTCAGTAGCTAGTGGTTGGTGCAATGGCTGTATAATGCTTGTCCACAACTTCAATCAGCTTATTGGCAATAGCACTGGCATACACTGTAGAGCCTTCACAAATCTGCAGGATATATATATATACATATATGATTGAGACCAGAATTGAAAGGGGTGATTACTGATTAGAAGTGGAAAAATGAGCAAATTAAACCTTGGAGTTGAAGAGGAAGCTATAGTAATCACCAATGAGGCCTCCAGCAACATGGTGGAGATCAAGCTGGAGTTCATCAAGAGCCTTGGAGACAAAGAGGAGGCAGTTGATCCTCTTCTGCTGGACAAGTTTGACAGTGACTTCATCGTCGATTATGCGAACATCAACCTCAGTGTTCTTGGATTTCCTCTGAAGCCAAGAACTTCTCAGTGTGGTTCCACTGTAGGATTGGTCCACATCCTCCACAGATTTCAGATCTCCACCATCCATCATGGAGCTGCACCCTTCTGTTTTGTGTCTCTTCATTCTCTCCCTGCTGCACCTCTTCTTCTCCACCAGAATCTTTAGCTCACCCACTGTCCTCTTCAGCTCATTTATGTACCCAATTGCATCATGCACAACTGAGGCTCTATCATTCTGGGGCAAAAATATATGCAAGATTATTGGATGGATCAATTATATATCAAGAAAATACATGTGGAGGGCTAAATTATATAATACCTTTGATGGGTTGGGAACCAATTTCTTTAAAGCTTCATACTTGTCATTCAAATGGACTCTCCTTTGTCTCTCAGTGGCAAAGTGTTTGGTGCCTTTGCCATCCCTATTCTTAGCCAAGACATTCATATCCCCAGTCAACTCAAAAACCCCATTTTCAAAATCCCTGCAGCCATCCACAGTTTGGTAGAAAGCACCATTCACCTCTCTCTCATCCACCTCACCAAACAAGGAGCCACTACTCCTTGAGGCCCCAAAGCCATAGCCACCTTGAGGCAAGGAGTGGAAGAGCTCTCTGAGTAGAGGGGGCTGTGGGGGGAGGTTTAAAGGCAGCAAAGAAGGGTCACACACCACAGTTGAAGGAGATGCACCATCTGCTGCTGATGATGGGAGGTCCCCAAATAGGCCTAAAGAAGTCAAGAAAGTTGAGGAAAAAGATGGGTTTGGGAGAAGAGAAGATGGTGAGCATCTTGGCAAAGGGAACATGTTAAGTAGGTCTGGTGCTGGTGGGCATGGGGTTTCAGGCATGGGAATTTGAAAGCTCTGTGGCTGATGAGAAAACCCTAATTCTTCCCAATTTGAAAGCCCTTGATTCTCATGCCCCAATTTCTGCATGAAGTGAGGATCACCCTGATGATGATGATGACCATTGTTCCCATTATTATCATTATAGCACTGTTCCATCTCAAGATTCAGCTGCTGCTGAAGCTCCATCTCCATCTCCATGGCAGCAGCCTCAGAAGAGTTATGGTGATGATGATGATAAGGGTGCCCTTCTTCTTCTTCCTCCAAGGGAAAGCTAGGGTTCTGAGGAAACCCATCATCTTCTGCACCTAGCACCACCACTCCCCCACCCTCTCCCACTCCCACACTGGGATCAAAACAGTCACCATCACTCTCTACATACATTTTTCTTGCCCAAATCTTCAGTACACACAATATTATTTCTGTTCCTTTCCACTCCTATTTTGGTGGGTCTTTGTCTGCAAACCTGCTAAACAATAATGACACACCTCAAGTACATGAAGAAAGAAGAATAAAGCACAAAACTTTTTCAGCAAGAAAGTAAAATAACACCCACCCCAGCTAGGAAATCCTATTGGGATACAAGAACAATAATATATATTCAAGAATCAGTGACAACAAGACAAGAATGGAGTTCTGGGAGCAAACACTACCTCTCTTCAGTCTTTATAAGGAGGGAGGAGGGTTTTGTTTCAGGGAATTGGCACTACAGATCAGAAATATAATCTCTCCACCCTGTGGAGATCAGATGGACGGTGTGGATGAAAGAACTGACGTATAAGTCGCCCTAACAACTGAAATTTTAGGGAAATGGGGATTGTTGGTTGGTTTGGGTTGGGGAGACTGAAATGCAGATATGTTGTTTCTGCAAGAATGATTTTGTTTTAATTTGGCAGAGCTGAAAAAGTTTTAGTTTGTTACTGAGATTCCATGCAAGAAAACTGGGGACCACTCTCTCTCTCTCTCTCTACTCTCTCTCCTCTCTGATTTGCAATTCAAACCAACCAATATCATTTCTTTGCAAATTTAGGCCTTTGATGTTTTCAATCCTTTACATACACTTTTTCTTTTCTTCTTTTAGTACAGTGCCCTACAAATTTTCCTTTAATAGTTCTTTTTTTTTTTTTTCCTTAAACATCTGAACATATTGAACTTGTAATCTCCACTTACCATCATGCTTTAGAGCATCCACATCAATGGTGAAAGAGGAGATAATGTCAGATCTATTAACTTGGGTGGGGATAATAACAAATGTGGGGTGAGGTTATTTGTGAAAAGAATTGCTCTGCAAATTCAAGCATAATGTCAGAAAAAAAGAAAAAACAAAAAAAAGAAAGAACACTGGCACAGCCATGTCTACACGGGCGCGTGCAATGCACGCGCCCGTGTAGCGCGTCAGGCGCGCTGACAGCGCGCCTGACGCGACAGATTTTTTATTATTTTTTATTTTCAATTTTTGTTTTGTTATTTTTTTTTCTTTCTTTTTCTCCCTCTCCCACATTCTCTTTCCTAATCACTCTTACATTATCTCCCAAATCTCTCCAACTAATGTGGATGCTCTTATAGAGCTCAATAATAACATTTTTGATTTTTGACAATTTTTCTTTATGTACTATTTTTGGGTAATCAGGAAAAAAAAAAAAAAAACTAACTATAATATTGTGGCTAATTAGTCACTCTAGCACACTCAATTGTCAAAATAGACCAAAAAACACTGGATGAGGAATCTTGTGGGTAGTATATATTCTACTGGGAGTCTGGGGTTTGATATTGCGATCACCCATTTGGAATAGTAATAGAGGTGTTATCACATTATATGGTAGTTGGCACTCATTTGAAAAATAGATTTAGTTGTTAATAACATTATTAAGTGTATGTTTGTCCCTATTTGAAAATATATATTTTTCTTTTCAAAAAGTTATAATTTGTCTTTCTCCAAAAACATCTTTTAAATGATCAACTAATTTTTATTATAAATTTTAAAATAATTAAATCATTTATAAAATTAAAAAAAAAAATCAATTTGAGCCCTGAAAAGAGTGACCATATAGGTAGAACATAATTATTGTATCAGAAGATCACAATTTTGATTATTGCCAACATCATTTTAGTCAAGCTCATATGTCGCACAATATCTTCCTAGTGGAATTTGCAGATATTACACAAGTGTGAGATTTACTTAGTGTGATTGCCTATCGAGTTTACATGTTATTACACAAAATTAAAATTTACCCAAGTGAATTTCTTTCGTCATTAAAAAAAATAAAAATTAGTTTGAAGTACAAAATTTAATGGGGAGTATTATTGATAGCCTTCCTATCATACAATCTGCGATTATTCTTCAAACAGTGGTAGTTGAGACTTGAGAGCTATTGTTTCTTTTGGCATTCATACATGTGGTGGCCCACTACCCAATGATCCCTCTCCATGCAAGCTAGGCACCTTAACTAACTCAAACACCAAAAAATAAAAAATAAACAATAAAAATTAAACAAAAAATGATATGTTATAATTGATTGATTTCAAATTATTTTCTTTTGATTAAACAATAAATTAATTATAACTTTTTATGTCAAATTACATAATATGTATCACTGGAGGACTTATAATATCTTGCACGGCATTTTGTCCACGGAATGCAAATAGAGGTAAAATAATGAGTACTTAAAATCTTTTGCTTGTTTGATACTAAATTGAAAGATACATTTTATTTATAAAAAAAAGTTTAAAATTATCATGAAATTAAATATTTATTATTTCATACTCAACATGTATAAGCATATTTACGTAATTGTACGTATACACTTACACCTTCCATGTATGTTATTGTTGATTGTGAACGGTGTATTAGAGTGTGTGCTGACTGGTAAGCGAGTTACTATATAGTGTGGTGTTTGTTTAGAGTTAAATTGCGACATACTGATTTATTATCATAAGATTCGTATAATAAATTTTATTTAGAAAAAATCAAACATGATCGTTCTATTTTGAAACACGTTATTAGTATAGTATCTAATAATATTATGATATAAAAAAAAATACTCCTTTTATCAAATTCCTTATATGATAAATGAACTCTTCTTTGTTCTTTTATATATTTTTTGGGTATTAAAAACTAATAATTAATTTCATTTTCTCCCAATTATCTTGGAATATATAATAACTCATTGCCTCTATTGTATCTTTGATAGAGAAAGAAACTAACTTCAACATCCTCAAATCCCACAAACAGCACGATTTCATAGGGATTATAATTAAAATCACGAAAAGCTTGTGCTATGAATATGTAGGCACCATTTACTGAATATTTCACTATAATCCAAATTTAAAATTAGCCTAAACAATCCCATAATTAGTTGATTAATTTAGCTTAGCCTAAGAGGAAACCTAAACTCCCAATCTCTCTTACTCGAATCAACGTATTTTTGATTTATAATATCAGTTAAAACTTAATTTAAGCTTAGTTAAATTCGAGTTTAAACCAACTTATTAAATTCGAGTTTAAACCAACTTATTAAGTAATTAATTTTTTTTTTGTTCATGTCTTGTCGAGCTGCTCATAAGTTTATAAGGGAACCGGTGACCGAAGCCCTAGTGAACGACAACCATAACTATAATGATCTTAAGGTAGTGAGAAGATTTGATTCGCACAAAAGGCGTAACAATTTGAATATTGTCTCGAAGAGAGGCTCAGTGAAATAGACATGTTTGTGAAGATGCGGACTACTAGCACCTGATCAGTACTTCTTGCACAGCTTAGGTGGAAGACATTCAAACTCAAGCTAAATTCAAGCCAATCAAATCAAACTCAAGCCTTATAAAAATTAACAAACTGAACTCGAGCCTAAAATTTTGAACTCAATTGAGCTCGAGCCCGAACTCAAGTCACTATAACTATTTTAAACTCGTACTCGAGCCAATCTAGGTTTGAGCTCAGCTCAGCTCATTTGCATCCCTAATAAAAAGAGGATTCTAACTTCTCCAATCTGATCACTTGAACAACATACCAACACTCTGAACAGGGCAGTAAAATTTATAAATCCTATTATCCAAAGTTGTTAAGAAATGCAACAGTAAATATACAAACAACATATATGGTAAATTGGTAATGGCAGTGAAACTCAAGATTCAGTGCAAGATTTTTGTGAGGATTTTAACCTAATACTGCTACTACTCCAAGATTTCTCTGCGATAACAGCTTCTAATTAGGCGACAGCTTTGGAAGCCAAACAGACTGCCGATTTGCAGGCTCTTCTGCTCAATCATTGGATGCTGAAAGTTAGGTCATGCAATCCCTGTGAGTGCCGAGAGAGATGGAAGATGTAGTTAATTACCTATAAAGAAGTTTGAACATCTTTGCTAACTCAATAGAATATAGTATTCAATAAAGAGATCGTAAAAATACAAACTATCATAGACCCAATACATACTTCCACGACTATCTAACATATTGGCTACGGACATTTTCAGAAAACATACGTTCAAGAACCAAAATCTGAAGTTATGTGCATAGGAAATTAGTCATGTAAAAGTGAACAATTTTTCAGATTAATTTAGGTTGCTGATTCAAATATGTGTTGCAGTTTTTCATCAAAAACACGGGAAGGGGAGGGAGGAATGAAAATCATACATTTCACTATTTCAGATATCAAGCACTCGTTGATGTTTCATTTACAGATAATATGAAGAAACAAACAGACAAGGAAAAAGATGAGTTTCTAAGCCTAATGAAGTAACGAATATTTACAACTGTAAATTGGTTAATCTTTGCAGTAATTTCAAATTGTCAGTGATTATACCCACCCCCCCTCCCCCCCCACCCCCACCCCCACCCACCTCTCTCACCATTTGCATTAACTATCTCTCATAGAAGTTGAGAAATGCAGAACATGCTTCTCAACAGTTTTACTACACTGCTAATTCTTAAATTACCTATGTGGGGTTGGTGACTTACCTACACAAGTTAGTTTATACATGCGCTTGCCTGTAAGTATATCTTATTTTGTACAGAGTACGCCAATTTAAAATGCTTAGCGTAAATACTATAAAATTCATTACCATATCAGGCAAACTATAGAGAAATAGACTGCTTAACGTTCAGAGTGTTTGCATATAGAATAAACAATAGCACAAGAGAGATAGTCAGAAAATTTGCAGCCAATAGACAAAGTAATTCGTTTCGATATGATTGAAAAATGCCAAACAGAAAACAAACTGAATCCTTTATCCAGGGGGAAAAAACAAATTTAAAAGAAATTACATCAAATTGTAGGAAGAGATTACACGCAGATCTTAGTTGGTTGACTTAACTGCTTAACTTCTTAATTCTGAAATAGATTACAAGGCAAGAAATCACCATGTAGGAGAAATATGTTGCCATCTCCTACTTAAAAATCTGTTAAAAATTAAGTATAACATAAACTAATGATTCATGAATGAAACTAATAGGCTTTTGCCGCTTTTCCTAGCTTAAAATCTACTGTTTAACCCTTCTTTCTATCTCCTCATCACCGTGTGGCCATCCGTGTAGGTCTCTATCTTTATAACAGCTATGCTTTATTCCGTTCAAAGAATTATTTTTAATTCTATAATAATACTAGTAGGTTTAGAAGTTCCTACAAGTGCAAACAAACACGTTTCTTGGCTGAAGAAGCTTGTCGGAAGAGCAGTTCATATTCCCAAAATATGAGTTTTACAGGCATCAAACTAGACCGTTTCTAGGAAACAACATTTTTGTATGCTTCCCTATACGTCAATTGTCTTTGTTTCAAAAGAAACTTTTATGGGGACGCAACCTACGTAAAGTTCAAACATCTTAATTGAGTATGGATATCAATCAGTTATATCTATACTACAACAATACATTCAAACTTGCACACAACAACCAAATGAAATGGTCAACCTTTTCCAAGAAAATTTATTTCTCAACATTCACCAGCAATATTGCTTAATCTTGCTTATCCTATTACCTATAGAACGGCCAACTTAAGTTTCCAAATACATGTATTGTAAACGAAAATTAACATAAACTCAATTTTCCCAACACTGTAAACGGCAGATGTAAATAAGCATATTATCACAGAAAATAATCACTTCTAACCATCTGGCAACCGCACACTTTAGACTTGGATGTGTTTTGGAAGCTCCCCTTTCTTCAAGAGGGAGACGGTGTATTCTGCAGCATCAATAAGATCCTCAATGTTATGTAGGGATCTTTCCTCGGCACCAAGAAGAAACATGGCACGAGCCTCGGCTTTCTTCTGCAGCCTGGCTGCCAAGTTCAGCGGCAGAATAGGAGAGTTTAGACTCCTCAGTATCTGGCGATACAGAGAGAGAACCCTACCCCTATTCCTTGCCATATCTTCAGCCGTTGCCCATATCATACCCTTCACCATTTCCAACTCCCACTCTATACATTGAAAACATACATGTTATTTCTAGTAACAATTAGTAATGTAATCATTTCCAAATTCACCAAAGCACACATATCAAAAGATAACACAAAGACTGAATCTTTTAGCTCTCCCCAAAGAAAAAGGACGCAGAGCAACATAAAGGCTCAACCTTTTATCTCTGCGCAAAAGAAAAAGGACCCAGAACATGTATTAAAATCAAGGTATATCTCGTTTAGGAATTTCATCAAACAGGTTATAGACATCTACTATATTTGTCTATCTATCTTTCCAAATGCATTGATCCTTTAAGTGGAGAAAAATCCTGGAACGGAAACCATAAGACAAACAATGTCGATAACACTACTCCATACTTTACAAATTTGCAAATATAATGAGAGGATGATCTCTGGGTTTTACTTACCAGTGAAGAACAATCGAATCCCAGTGAAATCCCCGAGACGTCGTCAATGCTCCGAATGCTACTGATGGCGCGGCTTCGACCACGAGACACGACAGTCTAAACATGCGTCAGCTACTTTAACATTTACCATTCGTTGGAATTATGGTTGTTTGGGAGCTTTTAGGAAATCGTATAAAGAATATATTCAAAAATCTAATGTAACAATATTAAAGAAAAGAAATTATATTTTAGTCTCTTCTTAGGTGCAGATATCAATGTAATTTTTTTTTTTTAAAAAAAATCTTTGATATTTGTCGAAGTATATTGATGTGGTAAATAAATCAGGATATACAAATAGATCTACCTATAGTTTGAAAAGCAAAATAGGTTTTTGGTCTCGGGATGATTAGACGGGGTCGGAGTCCTCCGAGCCAAGATGTGTTGTTAGTGTGAAAATCCCTCACCCCTCAAAAATTAGATGTGTCTTATATAGAGGGCTGAAAGGGGACACATGACGGGGGCATGTTTGCCACGTGACCCCATACATAGAGGAGGTCGTGGGCATCGCTAATATGTCCACATGTACAAAAGTTCCAGACGGTGTGAAGGTGAGCAATAAAAGACGTGTATATAAATAGGATGGCTTGCCATATTATGAAACCAATAAATAAATAAGAAAATGTATTGTGTTTAACAATTTGAAAATAACAGAAACTCCACATCTCAAGCTTTTGAACGTTTGAAGAAGTCCTTCTAGGCTTCAATGTCTTCTTCCTTCTCAGCAAAACACCAAAAGAAAAAAAGAAAAAAAAATACAAATATACTCTCACTGCCACTTCCCAACTGGTTTTCATTCTTTCTTGATTCTGATGGTGGCAAAATCACAGATTCTCAACAGCAGGGTAAAACCATGACATGATGGCTGCTAAGAACAACATAGGTTCTATATCCAGGTAAGAGGAACATCCTCCTTAACACCCCCACATGTTTCACTTCAATTTCTTGTCACTGTTTGGCTTTTCGTTTTGTTTTGTTTTGTTTTTGCGGTTCAGAAAACCGAGCAAGAATGCGGCTTCAGTTCTGCAGATACGTGTGTGTGGAGTGACATGCTCAGTGAATAGGGTTAGAACATTTTCCCTGCAATCTTCAAAAAAACATTGGTTTTCAACATTGTATGAAACAAAAGAACATAGTAAATTGGCATTCGCGGAAAACCCCAGCCAAGTTGGTCGGGTTTGCATTGTTGGCTTGGTAACACTACAAGGTTACAAGTTCAACTCCTGGTGGGAGCAGTCTATTGACTACCTTGGTTTGAGCCGGTCAGTTATAGATAACCTAAGCTGGTTTACCACCTTGTAGTTAGGGGTGTGCCCAGTGCACACCCTTGTATGGGGTGCCCAGTGCACGCCCTTGTGTAGTGGCTGCGGGTTTTCCTCGTCACCCAGAAAAGAACATAGTAAATTCGCATTCTCGGAGAAATCCCAACCAAGTTGGTCGGGTTGTTGGCTTGGTAACCACAAGGTTACAAGTTCAACTCCGGGCGGGAACAGTCTATTGACTTTCTTGGTTTGAGTCAGTCAGCTATAGACAACATAAGCTGGTTTACCTCCTTGTTGTCGGGGTTTACCCCGTGCACGCCCTTGTGTAGTGGCTGCGGGTTTTCCTCGTCACCCAGAAAAGAACATAGTAAACTGCTAACTAGGGAATGTTGTGGTGAAATGTTTAGGAACTTTTGGCTGAAAACTGTGCTAGAGTGGCTGCAGTGCTGAGAGAGAATCCTCAGGATAATCTGTCACTTTTGCTGGGGGAGATTCCTGCTGATCCCCAAACATTCGAGGTGGTAGCGAGGTTCTGTCATGGTCTTGAAATCGAGCTGTCAACCGAGAATGTTGTTCATGTTTGCTGTCTTGCATACTACCTCGGGATGACTGAGGATCAAAGAACCAACAATCTCCTCAAAAGGGCGCTTGTCTACTTCCAACATAACGTCGTACCTAGCTGGAACAAATCCATTAGAGCCCTCAAGACCATGGAGAATGTTCTGCAACAGGCTATTGAGATTGGGCTGGTTGATGGCTGTGCAGAGTCCCTCGTCGCTCAAGCACTTGATGATCCCCGCCTTCTTGGCGAACCGGTCGAGATAGATGGTTGCGGTGGAGAAGAAAACGGGCTTAAGCCGAGTGCGAGGAGGAAGCTGTTTGATATCGAATGGAAATCCGAGGACTTGACAGTGCTAGCTATCGGGCTTTACGAACCCATTATTTCTGCTATGATTCACCGCCAAGTTCCACCGGAATACGTGGCTGCATCGCTCTGTCAGTACGTTAAAAACTGGATTTTTTCAGATGGAAAACGAGGAGATAACATTAACAACTCAACAATGTACAAAAAGAGCTCCGAGAGAGAAGTGATTGAAGCGATTCAGAGACTGTTACCTGATGAGAAAGGGCTGATTTCTTGCAGATCGCTGTTCGAAATGCTGCAATCTGCGATAGCGTTGGGTGCTAGCGTCGAATGCAAGGATGGATTGGAGCTCAGAATCGGGAAACAGCTTGATCTGGCAACGGTCCAGGACCTGTTAAAACTATGTCAATTATACACGAAAGATGAAAAATACGATGCAGAATGTGTGAAGAGAATATTGAAAAACTACTACTGCAATTACACCAGTTCAGATATCTCCGGTTTGATTGCCGTGGCAGAGCTCATCGACGAGTTCCTGGCAGAGGTTTCTCGCGATACAGAGATGAACGCGACCACATTCGTGTCACTTGCAGAGCTATCCGCCTCGGTGTCAACAGAAACCAAGGGAAGCTCGGATGGTATATACAGAGCCGTCGATATCTACCTCGATAAGCACAGATGGCTGACGGAATCCGACAGGGAGGAGGTCTGCAGCGTGCTCGATTGCAACAAGATGTCCCCCGAGGCCCGAGAACACGCTGCACAGAATCAGAGGCTCCCGCTCAGGCTCGTGGTGCAGGTTCTGTTCGTAGGCCAGCTGAAACTGCGGGACACAATTACCAAAGGGGCGGAGAGCTCTGATCGGGGGCTGGTGAAGTTGGAGGAAGAACACGAAGAAGAAGCACCGAGAGCCGGGAGGGTCGAAGAAGAGGTGAAGGAGGAGATGCAGAAGATGAGCAACAAGGTGTCAGAGCTCGAGAGGGAGTGCACTGAGATGAAGGAGATTCAAAGAAGCTGCTGTAATAAGGCTGTGAAGGAGAAGGGTAGCATGTGGAGGGAAATGAAAAGGAAGCTGGGCTGCATGACCACCATGCATGACTGTAATTGCCATGTGAAGAAGAAAAAAACTCAATCCAAGAATGTAAAATAAAGAAACAATTGCCTTAGTTACTTGTTACTCTTATGACCAAAAGGTAGCAACAAATGACATCTAAACAACAATTGTATTGCAATATTGCATAGATCAATACAAAAGAATCCTTGGTAAATTTGGACAAGTTTTCATCATGGATCCAACAGAAGTACAGAACACCTACTGCAATATTACCAACTTAGACACATAAAACTATTGCGGATTTGCAGTTCCAGCAATCCATTGAAACCTCAAAATAGTCATATGATGGAATTTCACATTTTCCTCAAAAGTAGGAAAAGCCTTTGGTCAAGCTTGAATTTGTGCATTTTCAGTGGGTCACTTCTCAGCTTCAGTTGGAGTCCCCCAAAAGAAATGTATACCACCCTGACAAGACAGAAAACCGGGATGTTAATAACAGTGGAACTGTGAAAAAAATCTTGAAAGAGATAGATATAGGGCATACACTTTAGATGACTCTTCTGCGACCTTATATAAAAGCCCATGCATGATATACTCAAATTTGTCTGCAAGTGATTTCGGATTGCCCTACAAACATTGTTTGACATGTGAGCTTAGACCTTAAAACATTGTGCTTAAAAGCTTCCAAAGTCCGTATGAATATGAAAGAAAGTCTTTCCAAATTCCAAGAATCTTCTTTTATTGGAGAAAGGACCATGATACCTTTGGGTAGTTACCAACAGCCGAACCATCTAAATTAATAGTATGTGATAAAACCATGCGATATGTATCATTCTTGTTAACAGGATATAACTCGGAGTTGATATCTAGAACTATATCTGTATTGCCATCTTGACTCTTTGCATCAATGCGAGAAACTGAAGAAACAATATCATTACATGAGAATCATTACCGAACGAACTTAAGTACATGAAGTTGGAAGTCATTATAGACAACAATTGCTGTGAAGCATCAGCGTAAGCTAAAGAGGACGCTACCTTTATCATATTTTTTACCATCTGCATCCACCTGGACGACCTTGATAATATCATCAAAGTGAAACTCAGCCATATTCACGTCAATTCACTCCACTAGAAAATTTGACCACTAATACGTCAAAAACAGAAGTCAGCTTAAGGCATTGACACAATCACAGTGGTATATATAGAACACGGTTTACTCAACAGAAACATACAGACGTAATCCCTTGATTTAATATCAGAAATGCAAGCCAAACGCTTTAAAGTTATTGAAAAAAAAAAAAAAAAAAAAAAAAAGATTGTGTAGGACCCTCATTCCATCTGAATCATAAGACAACACCAGAATATTACATTGCTTTGGCATTGCATCTTTCATCTCAACCATTCATGTTAAGACGACTAATCACAGTTTGCCAGCCAGCCAGCTAAGGAAACAACGAACAATCTCTGAACTAAAGCCGACAATCCAATAGGGATGACTATATGTACTAGGAAATCTTCTAATATCACCATAGTCATTATTAAGCAATAAAAACCATTGAAGGGGACAACCCAACCAAGTTGGTCGGGTTGTTAGCTTGGTAACAACACGTTCCAAGTTCGACTCCTAGTGGCAACAACCTATTGGCCTTCTTGGTTTGAACCCGTCAGCTATGGGCAACCTAGGCCAATTTACCTCATCCTTTGCTGGCTAGGCTCAGCAAGCAAAGATAACCCGTGCATACCCTCATATAGTGAAGGCGAATTTCTCTTGTCACTCAAAATAAAATAAAGTAAAAACCATTGAAAATAGAAAGTAGAAACCATCCATACAACAAGTTTAACTACCTCCCACCATTACCAACTACTTTAGCAAGTTGTTTCACGCAATATAAATTTATGCCCATCCAGAGCACAAAACTTCTTCCGCCCTAGCCCTCTGTTAAATCAAACTTACTGAGAAAACGAATTCTTGCCGACAAGTTCCAAACTTCACGACATTAATTTTGCTCTTTTAACATTTATCATCTAAATATTTATTATGCTGTCCTATAAAACTTCTAAAAATCAAAACTTTAAGATAGCAATTGAGTTTAGATGGAATTCATTGCTCGGCAGAGAATAGAAGAACATCTACGAGAAGAAAGAAAACTTACCGTCGAGTTCGAAGCTTGTATGCTACGAGTGTGCACCTTGGAAAGCTAGGGTTCAGGTACAATTGTACAAAGGAAAATAAAGGTGAAACTAAAGTGGCATATTTTATAAGGAAAACACAATAAAACTTGTGATCTAATAGCATAGTGTTATCTTGTAAGGAATGTTTCGGGAAGCCACGTTCAGCTCTCGACTATTATAGAATGATTAAAAAAAATACTTTTTTATGTGACAATGTCACAATAGTTATAACTAAATATGAAAAATATCATAATAGTAGAATGATACAAATTGAAATGGAGTACTAATTGGGACAAACAAATAAAAATCGATAATGTAATATGACAAAAGTATGACTAGATGTGACGATATCATAATAATGGTGGGATTCAGCAACCGCAACTGGTGGTTTTCGACGCTAGCCGCACCAATATGATGGAAATAAGGAAGTTGTTGACCACTTTCAAAAACAATGCTGGTGCCAACCCTGGTCATGGTAGGATATGGTTGATAGGCACATCACTTGCGAGACTTATTTGATGTGTCAAAAGACAAATTGCAATCAATGTTGTCATCTCGGTGGCATGACTGCCTTCGTTATAAAGTCTAAAAGATAGCTATGTCGTTACCCCTTGGTGACGGCAAATGCAGTCACTATTCACTCATGTCTTCATCTGACGATTCATTTAAAAAAAAAAAAAAAACTCCTTTACTTAGAAAAAATTTATACAATATTTTCTAATTCATTATAATGTTAGATCAATATTTATCTTGTTGTGTATATAACTGAGACCTTAGTTGTGCATATTATGAACTCTTATTTTGCAAACACTTGTTAATAAAAAAAATTAAAATAAAAATAATCTGAATATAAAATATTATAGTATAGATAGATATAGATTTTTGTTGACAAATTCTCATCAATTATACAGTTTATACGGCAGGATAAAATAAGACAAAATGAATATGGTCCACCAGGCTAAATATCTCGTAAATCGCAAAGCAAGATTAATCTCACGTGGAGTGGATCCGAAGCGCTCGTTCGCTCACGAGTCACGAATCACTGGTTTTTCGTGATTGCTTCTACGTCTCCGAAATCTCCCAGTCTCTCCTGCAATCCCTTCTGCAACTTCGTAGTTCAAGCACTGGTGTTTCCTCAATCGACATGGGTCAAATTATCGGCAAGTTTCAAGGTAACATTACTATTCATCGCTTCTTTCTGGGAGTATCGCATCAGTTGTTAGAATAGTTGTCTTTTATCTGCATTTGCTGTCTTATATTCTATTAAACTTTCCGTCTTTATGGATTAAGATTTAAGATGTCCTGGGAGAACATTTCGTTTGAATCTGTGAGCGGTTGATCTCTGGGCCTTAGATTTGAGATTGCAACATCTTAAGTTTCTGCAGTTCTAAGTTTGATTTGAGATTTTGAGTACATGAAAGTGGTTTGTAATGATTTTGTAAAGTGAAATGATGTTGCATGTTGGACCTCCTATGAGGTCTGTTATAAACAGTTAAACAAGGAACATGAAGTCTAAAGGATATTTCAGCACCTAAAGTTCTCTTGATATTGAAATTCCTTTCTGTATACCTGCTTTCCTGTATGTCTTTGCTCTTTAACAGGTTGTTACAGTTATTACTCCTGTCTTCTTTTTGAGTCTACTGTTGTACAACTGAAATAGGTTATGTATGAACTGCATCCATGGCATCATGTAGGTAAAGAAGGGAGACAGAAGCAGATACGAAAGATAACAGACAAGATGTTTGATCGATTCAAGAATGAAACGGGCAGAGTTAATTTGACGTTTGAAGATCTTTATATTGCTGTGCTGCTTATTTTCAAGTGAGATGGTGCAGACTAGTTGTTTCTTTGATTTTCCCGTTTCATCTACTGACAAGTTGTCAAGAGAGTTGCTAACGCAGTTTTGTTCTTACAGTGATATCAATAAGCGTTTGCCTGGGCCGCACTTTGACCCTCCTTCAAAGGAACAAGTTAGGGAAATGATGCAGGTATATCACCTTTTCCATCTTAGAATGTCGCTGCTTTGGGCAATCGGGCATTGTCTGATATTTGAATAAATTGTTAGCGTGTAATGATGGGTTCAATTTATACTTGCTAGATAGGCAATAATATAGCCTGGTCAATCCCTGGTGGTGCTAATATCTGCTATATTTTCCTGTGTTGCTATACGAATATAGAGTGCCTTATTCAGGAAATCCTGGATGTATGTAATGGTCTAAGTTCATCTGGTGGCTAACACATTCTCTGCCAGTCTGCAGTTTGCATCATATATATATGGTTCGGTGAAAGCTAGGATATGGTTGTATGTAACCAGTTTTTGGTAAAATTGATTTCACTGCAGTGCCTCTGCAAGCAAAGTATCACTCTGTTTGGCAAACTTAGCTTATAAGTTGCCTTAAAGCTAAAAGCTTAAAAGCTGGTAGCTACTAGCTTATTTTGAAATGCTACTTAGGGTAGCGTTTCAAAATAAGCTATTATTTTAAGCTCTTCATGTTTTACCAAATAGAGCTTAGCTATATAGTATAAACTCTAAAATAAGCTCTACCAAACATAGGCTATATGTAGTCCATAAATGCTTGTGTATACTATGATGTTTTTATGCCGTTCAATGTGATTACGTGTTGTTCAATGATTTCAAAGAATTCAATAGAAGACATTTTTCATATTAAACCATAATATGGCATAAATACCAACTCAGTTTCTGTTGGTAACGGAGTTCAATTATCAGGTCTGCTTTTTGTTTGTTCGTTGAAATTGGCTATACTTGGCTTTGGATTGAACTAGCTAATTTCATTTGGAAAGTTCTGGGACTTGTGTTTTTTTAGGACTGAGAAACCAGCAGTTCATTTGAATGTCTATAAAATGCCTGGATGTAACTAATAACCGCAAACAAGTTGAATTGTTTCTTCTTGTCCATAAAGGTGTATTAATGGGTGGCTTGAGAGTAACTTATACGAGAGCTAGTTTGTTCTTGAGATCTATTAATGTTTTTGTCTACGACATTTGAAGTTTGTTCTCTATATTATCTGCAAAATGAACCACTCTGTATCAGATATCCAATTTGAAGCCAATCTAACACCATTATCCATATTACTCTCGACGGGTAACACTTGGTTGTATCATTCTTTCTGTCTGCAACTCGCTGATCTGACCTCTAATAACCACGCACTTGCAGTAGTTTGCTTTCGGATTTCGCTTTCATTATATTCATCCAACATTGTATTGTCTTTGGACAGAAATATGATCTCAATCTCGATGGAGAACTCAACCGCGATGAGTTTGTGGCCTTCATCTCACAATTAACTAAAGACACCTTCATCACAGTCAGTCAAGGACTGATCATCACTCTGGCTGTGGCGCCCACGCTAGCTCTGCTGACAAAGAGGACGACAGAAGGAGTACCTGTTGTCGGGAAGGTGGTGGAGAAGTTGCCCAGTTCCATCTATGCCTCCCTCGTCACCCTGACCATCGTGCTCGTCCAGCAAGCTGCCGAGGCAAAGCAGTAAAAGGTTTCTCTGCATTGTAAATAAATATTGCTAGTTTGCTACATAGTTTCTTTTCAATAACATGCCAGTAGACTTGACTGTACATGAACTTAAACACAGCTATTCTGGCTTTGAGATGGAAGGTTTCTGGTTATGCTTTCAATTCTGAATTAGTGAATTACAAGTTTCAAACTTTTGTGCTGTTTCTAATGATCTTGATCATGCATGTGTTCCAAGAATATATGTTAGGAAAGTTTCCCGTGTCAATCGGACCGTACTGATTTGCATCTGGTACAACTCAAAATGCATGCTTGGTTATACTCAGTGCTAATGGCACTATCGAATTTTTCATATATGTATATGTGATATGAACTTGACATGACATTATCAGTAATATTGACTTATTTTATCTTTTATTTTTATTTTAAAAGAGAGTATAACCGTCAGTCACAAGTAATTTAATATTGTAAAAAAAAATTTGCTTTTATTTCTAAACAAGAGTCTTCTGTGACTTGCTTTCAATGGCTGAGTGAAGGTTTAATTCTTACCACAAGAATTGAAGGTTTAGATTTTGGTTGAGCTTAATGTACAATTTGATTTTGAGTCTCGTGATTCAAAACTAGATTGATTCAATTTACGGGGTTGGTATTTGTCAACACAGGACTGAAACAAGTAATAAACCCATCACTTTCTTGAGGATTTATGGAGAGACGGAAACCGTTGATTTCATGATGGTTCTGCATTCTTCTGTTAAGGGGGTGGGGCCACCTTCCTCCTACTCCACGTATTCGTTTCGTGTCGCGTGTTTCTCGGCCATGGTTCCTGGTGGTGGCATTGGCGCTGTTCCGGGTCGAGTAGCCACAACGATGTATCGTCAAATATCTAGGAACGAAAAATGGGGACTATTTTTAATTTCTGGTTGGGACAGGGACGGAGAGTATACTCCCAACCCCTACCCCGTTGCCATCCTTGATTATAACTATTATATTTTGAATTAGTAAAGTCTCCCCGAGTCTCCGGGATACCCAAACAAATAGTATGTCCTGATTGCAACAAACATTGAATGACATTCAATTCATTCAAGGACAAGATACATGTGGTTGGGTCACTTGGGTGGTCGGGGCTAACTTATAATGTCTTGAAAGTAGATTTTTGACATTATTATCACTAAGAAGCCATGCATGGCCTGCCGGCCTGTTGCAGTCGATCTGCAGATCGAAGGCCGCAATTATTGCAATTTGTGAATCCCAACCAACATCTGGGCAAATTAAATTCAAGAACGCCATCCAATTAATACGTAAAGCGGCCGGACCTTTTTGCATTCATGACACCCATATAGATTATTGTAGGACAATAAGTCGTAGAATGTAAAACTTCCACAAGTTTCCAAGATATGGATATAAATTCATATTTTGTTCAAAAGTAGCTGTCGTAATCGACAACCTAAATCTTGGTAAAATATCAGAACTCGACATCGGATATCGTCGTGATCGAATCTTATCCTGTGTGGTTGTTGATTCCGCGGGTTGCGCGCACCGCCCCTTGCCCTTGGATTTGTGACATCTGGGATGCATGGCCATTACACTTATTATGAGCTCCTACTCTCATTTAAACACTATTATTTTAATTTGATCCCATTTTTTAAAAGTAGTTTACGAGTGCATTATATTGTTGATTTTACGATTTAGATAATTGGTGACAAAATAGTTAATAGAGTCGGTAGGAAGTAAAGTATTAAAGCTCAAATGAATTCGGAAAAATGGAGTATATATTGTTGTTGCTTTGAGAGTAAAGAAGAACATGTCAATTACATGCACACATCTTTTAAGGACATTTATAGAGCTCAAAGTATCAATTAAAGATCCGATGGGTATGAAAAGTAAACACCTCAAAATTAGACCAAGATCTTCCAAGAATCCAATTGTTCTTTCCTTAACAAAATTTCGTGTCTCCAAGGTTTTATACTTTACAGGATCAAATTTAGGTCTAGTCTAACCACTTGAACTAAGACCGATGGAATACTAGACTACCGTGTACCTATATCCGACTCATCAATTATAATCAAAGTTTAGTGTGAAATCTAACTTGAGGAAAGATCTAAATTGTGTGTAACACACACTTTTCTTAAAAATCGATTCACTACCTCCCGACTCCCGATAGTGTTAGGAGCGTTGTAGCGTTAGTCTCTTAGTATAAAATGGATCACGACTTTAAGTTTGAGCACTCAAAAAAAAAAATGTCCGCCGAACTAGAACAACAGGCGAGCACTTCGTTTATTTTATGAAAGTGTTGGCAGATTTTTCTTGTAGAAAAATGATTTTGAGAGAGGAAGAACGAGAGAAAAAACAAAGATTTTGTGAGTTCAAAATTAGCAGCTCAACAATTCTGTACAACACTAAGTATTTATAGAAGAATAAGTTAATAACATTAATAATGACATTAACATCTTAAATAATTTCAAGGAATAAGGGTCAAATAGGCCACTGAACTGTACACAATAATGCAATTAGGCCACTGAACCTAAAAAACCTACAATTGGGTCCCTAAACTAACCTATTTCATTCAATTTGTCCATTTCTCAGGTTTCTCAAAATTTTAAATCCTTTTTTTTTTGAACACCTTAAATTAGTTTTTTTTAATGTTTAATAAATAAAAACTAAAATAATTTGTTTTTTTTTTTGAAAATAAAATCCAAGCCCTATACGACTTAAATAATTATTTTATTTTCAAAAAAAAAAATTAATTTTATTTATTAAACATTAAAAAAATTGATTTAAAAATAAATTATTTTAGTTTTTATTTATTAAATATTAAAAAACTAATTTTAAAATAAATTATTTTTTTAAAAAAATGCCACATATACATCCTAGGTGGAGGGGTAACTTGTTAGTAACTTGGAGAAACTTGAAAAATGGACAAATTGAATGAAATTAGTTAGTTTAGGGACTCAATTGTAGGTTTTTTAAGTTCAGTGGCCTAATTGCATTCTCGTGTACAGTTCAGTGGCCTATTTGAGCCTTATTCCTAATTTCAAATATGTATAACCCCCTCCCCCCCCTAACAACAACTTTAATATAGAGTTTAACATAGCTGTTACGACAGTTAATTCTTAAAAAAGAAACCCCCCATAACAACTTTAATATAACGTTTAACATAGCTGTTACGATCATTAATTCTTAAAAAAGAAATTGAAATTAATTCATACAAAACAGAATTAGCATTTATAGTTTAGAACGATACAAATAGTTGCCTAAAAATAACAAATTATCAACTATTCACAAGTTGCGCGCGAGAGAACCTCTATACTATACAAATTATCTTCTAAAAGGCTCTGGTATATAAGTGGTGCAAATCCGGCCACTTCCAAAATCAATGTGGAACAAATACTTTAACAAACCTTTATACGTCCCATTTTGAGCATACAATATATCAATTTTTTCGTCCTACTACAAAGAACATGACTATACTTTGACCCAACCCAAATAAAAAATTGAATCCCACATATATTTGTACAACAAAATAGTCCCTTTTTATACCATTTCATGCTAAAATTTTCTAACAGGTGACACCTTGCTCTTGAAGTAATATATTCTTGATGAGTCCCTCTCTCTCTCTCTCTCTCTCTCTCTCTCTATATATATATATATATATATATATATATATATATATATCTCGTTATATTAAGTCAAAAAGAGGTTAGGTTTATTCTTTTATTTTATTTTGTTTTTTTTTCAAGGTAAAAATGTAAAAATTGTAACCCCTAACACCTTAAAAAAAAAAAAAAAACATGTACTCACATTTCTTATTTCTATTTGTACTCTCACAAATTCTTGATATTGACATGTTTTTGGGGACCCATATAATGAAAATATTCAATCTTTGTTTGTGATATCATGGAGTAGAATTTGAGAGTACATGTAGCAGAACTCAAAAAAAAAAAAAAAAAAAAAAAAGTATGCACTAATGCGCGTGAGGTGCACGTGAAATATGCATATGCTTGGACAATGTGGAGCTACTATATATATGATGATGAAATGAAACTATGTTGTGCTCGAAAATAACGAAACACTAGGAACAAAACATGAACAACGATACGTCATCAAAACGATCAGAATCCCAATACTATGACGACGACGACGACGATAAGAGTTCGTCGGTGCTGATTCCGGGATTGCCGGACCACTTGGCACAGCAATGTCTTTCCGCCGTCCCGCCCTCCCTTCTCTACGGCGTTTGCCGCTCGTGGCGCCGCTTCATCTACTCCCCTTCTTTCCCTCCCTTCTACTGTCTCTACGCTCTGCTCTCTCCTTCTTCATCAATGGCGGCCTCCCTGTCGTCTTCATCGTCGATCGGTAAGCCAGAAGGTCCGCCGAGTTCGATTGAATTCTTGTGTCTAGACCCCGTTTCGTCGAAGTGGAGCCAACTCCCAAGCCCGCCGCCGGAACCGCCTCTGCGAATCCTCCACCGCCACCCTTCCTTTATTTCTAGAACCCTCACTGTCCAGTCATTAGCCGTCTCCGGCCGGCTTCTCCTCGTCGCCGGCACCACGCACAACTTCCTTCCCGCTCTCGGCCGTCCATTGTGCTTTGATCCGTCTACAGGCGAGTGGTTTTCCGGCCCTCCGTTCACCGCCCCTCGCCGCTGGTGCGCCACCGGCTCCGTCCACGGCCAAGTCTACGTCGCGAGCGGCGTCGGCTCCGGGTATCAGGGTGACGTGGCGAGGGCGCTGGAGAAATGGGACGTTGAACAGAAACCCGCCGACTGGAAATGGGAAAAACTGTCTTCCCTGAATAATGGGCGGTTTTGTCGGGAAGCGGTTGAAGGCGTAGGGTATAAAGGTAAATTGTGCATGGTAAATATAAAAGGAAACGCGGTAAAAGAAGGCGCCGTTTACGATGTGACGGCGGACCAGTGGGAGAAAATGCCGAGAGGAATGCTCGCCGGGTGGAACGGGCCGGCGGCGGGGGACGGAGATGATGAGATTTACATGGTGGATGAATCAATAGGTTCGTTGAGCAGGTATAAGGCGGAAGATGACAGTTGGGAGGAGGTGATTCAGTCGTCGGAGTATCTGAAGGGCGCGGAGAGGATTGCGGTGGAGAGAGGCAAAGTTTGCACCGTGTCTGGCCGTGGACGGTGGGTCACGGTGGTGGACGTGGCGGCGCAGCCGGCTCGGATTTGGGTTGTGAATCCGCCGCCGGAGATGGAGTTCATTGCCGTTCATATATTGCCAAGGATGAAGAGTGTAGAAAACTAAAATATCCTCCATTGAGTAGAAAATGTTTAATGTTTAATTAGTTATTTTATTTTGAAATTTTAAAGATATTTTTCAAAATCTAGCGGCCAGTTAGGTATATATTATAGGGCCTAATTATAGGTGGCAGTATGGGGTGGAATCCCGAATCCCACTAGAAGATCTGAATTGAATTTATTGTGTGTCATTTCTATCTTGAATGAGACTATTTGTATCCTTATAAATACGTATATTTCTTTCTAGATCATTACTAGAACTATTATTCTGAACTGAATTTGATCAAGAGTTCTCGCCACCCTGGTCCAAGACTATCTATGGGGCACGACAATCATCGATCATTCGTGAATCTCTGACTTTTAGAAGGTTTTATTAATCTCTAGGGGCCTTTGCCCTTTGGTCGAGTTGTCGTCTTTCTAGTATGATTTATCTAGTACATATCGGTTAGTAGATGTATGAGTTTCCATCGCCATTTGTAAAAAAAAATAAATAAATAAATAAATAAAATGAAAATTAAATTAAAAAAAAAAAAAAAAAAAAAAAAAAAGTGGAATTGTTGCACCAATTGGAATATGGTCTGCTCGCTTTCAAAGATCAAGACTTGATCCTAATGTCCAGGCCTTGCCGTTGCCGTACCTACCTATCATTTATAACAAAAAGGGAATGCAGATAGAGCATATCTATTCTATTCTATTCTCAATTTGCCCTAATAAAGTTCTAAGTTCCAAAGTTCAATTGATGATGTATACGAACGCACCAACTCCATGATAGAATTTGCTCACTAATTTGCATTATATTCTTCATAAAGTATAGTCCTAATTTAAAATTTATTAAATGATAGTTTGAGGCAGGTAAACTATTAATGCATATCAAGTTATTAAGTAACTTTACACCTTTTTTTTTTTAGATATATGTCCAATCTCTAGTGATGGTGAGACCAACCAAAAAGTATGTCATCTGAACCGACTTCATTACACTATTTAGTCAAATATCAACTCTTGTATATAGGCATATTAAAGAGTTATAAGCCAGACTTTCTCAGGTAAGAGTCAAACTCAACTGAAACAATTCAAAAATTAAAGTCCATATTAATCTTGCTCAATCTGATTTATTAGTAGGTGTGATAATCAAGTTGCCCATGTCATGCATTGGCTAAGGTTGTGGGAGCTGGCTCTATTTGCTCGGAGTGGTGTGATGTACCACCTCTGTTCTTGAACCGTTTATTGGTCTAATACAATTTCGTTATTGATTTTCAAAAAATTAATAATTCAAAGTACAGGTGATTATCAGCTACCGAATTGAAAAGCCAATTTTGATATAGATTTTAAAAGAACAATAAATTTGGGTATGCAAAAATGAAAAAGCCAAGGGGTGGTATCATATGAGAAATATATAAAATGAAAATGCAAGAATTTTAACCTCATGCATGCGCAAAAAGTTTGCCATATATATTATGTAGCTTAGAGATCCAGGAAAAGGTGGTAGTGCAGTCTATAATGGCAGCACTGAGATCATACTTGCCAAAAGTCACAATTGAAGACAAAGGACCACCAATGCTATAATGCCAAAACTAAAAGTAAAGCAACCTAATGGTGTCATCATCATCATTCACAATGAGCTTAGCTTCATCATTATTCCAACTAGGTAAATGATTTTTTTTTTCTTTAAAACAAGCATGCATTTTTGAAGATAGGGTAATTAATTATCTTATATTAATCCCTATTGCATTTTAGAATTATGAATTTTTTAATGTCACCATTGATACCGAAATTCAAGACTTGGCCTTCAGATGAAAAAAAAAAAAAACTCACACTCTACTTATTCAAACACACACCTTCCAGAATACACATAATAGGCATTCTAATGTAAAAGTATTTAGGTAAAAAAAAAAAGTTATATATCTAAACAATACTACATCAGTATTTATAATACGCAATGTTATTTTAATTTAGAACTTATACTACAATTCCACTAAAAAAAAATTAAATTGACATCGTGTTTAGCTTTGGTCATAAGAACCAACACTAAAAACACTTATAATGTTGATTTTTAAATCTTTTTCAATAAATTTTAAAGATAATATTAGATTTAGTCGAAAGACACTTTACAGTAATTATAATCGCGGTAGGTTATTAAATATCTGCAGACTTAAAGACAAGAAAGCAAGCAAGAGCCAAGAAGAAAAAGTTTGTGTTAGAGTGTGACAAAGTCAAGAGCTTCAATTCAATCAATCCTTGATTGGAACAACTTTAATGGAAAGTAGCATCCTGGCCTCAACCACTCCAAAAACTTTACATATTTATATTACCTTAATCAAACCACGTTCTCCGCCACCTTTTAGCTATTAAACTTTACATCATAACACCTTTTTAAAAGTTAACAATTTCTTAATCCATCAAAACTTTGTATTTATCTCAAGAAGAACATAAAGTAGCCTTAGCAGGCGTTATTGGATTGGTTTAGTTTGGTTAGGTTACATGTAGTTATGTAAAAGGCAAATCATAACATTTGTTTTGCTTGCAATTGTATGGTATGTATTTGAGATACAACTCTTCTGGTCAATCAATAGAAAATAAGTTTGTAACATTCACTTTACTTGCAGTGCGTGTTCGAGGTACAACTCAATTGGTCAAAAAAATTTAAATATAACTTCATAATATTTACTTTAATTTGCTTGTAGTCTCTATGTGTAACAAGCATTTGTGGTATAAGCTAATTGATACACATCTCGCGATTTTCTTTCCACACTAGCCTCTTGAACATGAGCAATGAAGAGTTATTATGAAAGTTATATTATATGTGCCCATATTTTTACTCACTCACTTTTACTCCATTATATGATATGACAAAAAATGATAAGTTATCTTCATTTTGTGGGTCCCAAAGTAAATATCAATATCAAAATTTTATGAGGCAGTAAAAGTTAGGAGTAGAATCTACTTAGAATAGAAGTATTTTTCATTATTATGTTTGGGATCGGAACTAAAATTCACATAAAAAAGTGGCAAGGTTTTTCAAAAAGGTTGTACTAGTGAAATTATTAAAGTAGTCATGCAACATTTTTCATTTGTTGTTATTGGTTGGAAGTTTTAGACCAACAAACACCAAATATATAAGTTTTCTCTTCTGTTGGAACATGCATGGTTGGGTTGTAATAAGCGCATTTATGTTCATGTTTTGGGCCATGACTAGGTTTTGGGCCATGTTTGCTGATGACAAGGTATATATGTTCCTAATCATTATATTGTGTACCTGAGTTAATCGTGCATTTAACACATTATGCATATTATATATTATATATATTAATAGATTATGTACTTGTAAGCTAATTACTATATAGTGTGACGATTACTGTTGCAAAAATCACGCCTAGGCGCCCAACCTCCTAGGCGACCTAGGCGCTCTAGGCGCCCTAGGCGGTCCCCAAGCGCCTAACAATTTTTTCAACATTGGTAACGATACATCTATTATCATTCTATTAGGCCAGCCACATACATTCAAATTCTGCAGGTTACCACAATCAAATTTTGACCTTTCATCGTCATGATTGAATATGGTTAGCAATTACCCTCTATCGGTTAAGGAGCTAGATTGCCTGCCTAGAGATGAATGGTAGGATGATGGTTGAAGGCAAAATTTGTTAAAATCATGAAAGTTAAAATTAGACCAAAATGTGGTACATGGAACTAAATTACTTGTTGATGGGACTAAATTTAAAAAAATCACCCAATTCAAATGAGGACTAAGTAACTTAGCTTTGATTTTTCTAATGTGTTGATCAACATTATTGCTTGTGAGTGTACTTAATAGTTAATACAATTCAAATAGCATATATGATTGTACCTGATTAAGACATCCATGTCATTGTTACAGTAGAATTCCTCTAATAATACTAGTTTTTTTTTTTTTCATCTTGTAATAAAAAGACAAAGGCCATGTTTGGTAAATGGATGTTAGTTGTTAGCTGATTGAGTTAATTAGAATGTATAACTAGTTGATAACATAAGCTGATTGTAGAAATGTGTTTGGTAAATTAGTTTGTTAGCTGATAGCTGTTTGATATAATTTCTTTTCTCAAAAAGCTAATTGAAAAAGTTATTTTGAGTAACTTTTTTAATTTTAGCATTTTGGAGTTTACAAAAATCTAATTAACCAAACACTTAATTGATCTTTTAACCAAGTCAAAGAGTTAATAGTGGTCAAATAAGCCAAAATTAACTTATAGGCTAACTATTTTACTAAACAGGACCAAAGTTTATTAGTCCAGCCAAAATGGGTAGCCCAAGTAGGTGATCGAAGCATGATTAGTTTACTAGTATTCTTGTCAACACCATCTCTAGTATAATTTACCTTTTCAGTGTGATTTACAAGCTGTTATATAAGAAGACTATAAGAACTAGGTTTATACTGAGTTTCTCTTGTCATCCAAGAAAAGACAAAGTTAGATTAGTTGACGATGATTACATATATCGCCGCCCTGTAACATCACACATGATGCTAAACTTAGAAGATGGTGACAAGAAGGGCACAATTCAAACAAGATAAGATGAGAAATGCTCCAAATTCCAAAATGGCCACTTGTGAACCCTAAAAGTCAATATTATTTAAGCCAAATTCCATCCCTTAAGCAAAACTCGAATCAAATTTGATCTATATAACACGCTCAATATGTATTCCATCCTGAACTGGCAATAACAGTAGCCATGGCAGAAGAAGTGAAGCTTTACAGGACATGGTCAAGCCCATATGGCTTAAGGGTGGTGTGGGCACTAAACATCAAACATATTCAATATGAAACCATCCTCGAAGATCTCACCAATAAAAGCCATCATCTTCTCCGATACAATCCTGTCCACAAAAAGATTCCTGTCCTCCTCCACAACGGGAAACCCATCTGCGAATCCTTGGTAATCCTCGAATACATCGAGGACACATGGCACAACACCCCCTTGTTACCTCAACACCCTCTCGACAGAGCTCACTTACGATTCTGGGCAAAGTTTTGCGAGGATAAGGTAAGCTTTAAAGACAGAACGCATCAATCAGTTTGCTATCAGTTAAACAGGGAAAACTTGTCACCATTCTTTGTATAGATAATCGCGTCTGGCGACCCTAATTGATTGTGATCTTAATTGTTAAAGGACTACAATGAGACAAATCAGCCTAGTTTGTTACCGGCCATACCAATAAACTAATAAAGTCAATAAACAGTTTTGCTTGAGCTAATAATTGAACTAACTTGACTAGAGTTATCCAGATTTGACTTTATTTGGTGTGGTTTATGATCTGATGTTTGTATGTATATATGTAGCTGTTGCCGTCGATAAGGAGTTCTTACTTCATGAAAGGGAAGGAACAAGAAGAAGGTGTTGTCCAGGCGCTGGACAACCTTAAACTCATCGAAGAACAGCTGAACGGCGGCAAGAGATTTTTCGGCGGAGACAACATCGGATTCCTCGACATCGTACTGGGGTGGCTGGCTAACCTGCCTAGCGTGTTCGAGGAGATAACCGGCCTGAAATTGATCGACGCCGAGAAATTTCCTGTTCTGTCGGAGTGGATGCACAACTTCTACAATCATCCTGCAATTCTGGATCACTGGCCGCCTCGCGACAAGATGATCACAAAGTTCCAGGCAATCTTTAATGCAATCGAAGCTAATAAATGAACCGTTCTTCATGAAGTTGCAGATATCCATATCCCAGATTCATTCCCAGTAAACCTGTGAGATTACTATTGATGTAAAAACTTGATCTATCTTATTATTTATGATTTTCTTATGTTTTAAGGTATTAAATCTGGTTATTTGCAGGATATATTGTACTTTTAAGACGAGACAAACATAAATAAAAATCTATATTTCGATGTTATTGTATTATGTATATACTTAAATGCATGTGCATGTATTTATGTCTTTAAACCTTAATTTAATCAAGTATAAAAAGAACCATGCATTCTAGGATTGTGTTATCTGGATTTGGGAGCCCTATTCCTTTCCAGCCCAAGAACCGTAGGAATCTTATGGTCGAATCAGGTGGGCACATACACGATCTTTTTAGTGTGTTGTACATCTCCTATGTGATTTCTTATTTTTTTATATGATCCAAAAATAGACAAAAGTTAATTAATTGAATAAAATTATGTGGCCGCCGGCCTGTAACATATATACATCACACTTAATGGTTTTTTTTTTTTGATAAACCATGAGGTCCTGGTTCGGGTTTTCTCATTACTTATGTCCTTGGTTACAGCACACCTCATGCTAAACTTAGAAGATAGTGACAACTGACAAGAATGGCACAAACAAGACGAGAAATGGTCCAAAATGGCTGCTTGTGAACCCAAAAATTCAATTCCATCGCCCCATAATCAAAAGGTACTCAAATCAAATTTGATCAAATTTGATCTATATAACACGGTCAATAATTCAATATGTGTATATATATATATATATATATATATATATATATATATATATACACACAGATGCCCTAGTATAGGTTCCATCCTGATCGAATTGACAGTAACAGTAGTACAGTAGCCATGGCAGAAGAAGTGAAGCTTTACAGGACATGGTCAAGCCGATATAGCTTAAGGGAGGTGTGGGCACTAAACATCAAACATATTCAACATCAAACCATCCTTGAAGATCTCAGCAACAAAAGCCCTCATCTTCTCCACTCGGTCGTTATATCGTGGACCGCGGTGCATATCGATTATGCACCGCGTATCAAAACGGCGTCGTTTCTTTAAATAAAAAAAAAAACAGCGTGCTGTTAGTGTTAACAGAATGACACTACAGTGTATCTAAACCGATATTGTCTCACGTATTATTTTTATATTATCAAATGAAACTGCAATTATATTAAAATGATACTGTAGTTGTGGTGAAATGAAACTGCAGTATATATAAAATGAAACTGAATAACATTTCACATATTTGAGTGTATATTGTACAATGAAGCTGTAATTATATCGAAATGATCATGTAGTTGTGTTTTAATGAAACTATAGTGTATATAAAATAAAATTAAATAATATTTTCACATATTTGAGTGTATAAATATTGAATGAAACAATAATTGTGTTGAACTGAAACTGCAGTGTATACAAAATGAAACTGAAGAACAAAGTTATTTTTTGCAGAACAGTGCGGAACGACGCGAAATGGATTCCGTTTCTTCTCATTAAATAAAACGACGTCGTTTTAATGCGCGGTGCAATTATGCACCGCGGTGCACGATATAATTTGTCTTTTCCACTACAATCCTGTCCACAAGCAGGGCCGAATTAAATATTTACAAGCAGGCTGAATTTTTGGCTATGCAAAATGCCCAAGTGCACAGGGCCTCAATTTGTAGAGGGCCGAATATTTATTTTTGACCTAGCTACGTAAAGAAAAAAAACCTGCAATTAATCCTAAAACTAATGAGTTTTTTCTCAAATCACTTATCTCTCTTAATAATTAGGACCTAATTAATTGAGCATGTCGCACGGTAAAATCGTTCTGTTTCCCCAACGACACAGATGATGTCTAAACAATACACCTGAGAAATTGATTCTTCCCCCAAATAGATCATTCTCCATGCATTCCAAACAATAGCGGCAGCCCAATAGGTAACCACTAACTAGGTAGTTTTAAGAATTTTTTTTTTTTTTTTTTTAAATATGTTTGTTTGGACTTTGAAGATAGTAGGTTAGTAGGATTCTTATGGTTTGGTTTTAACGATTGCACTTGTGCTTATATTTTTGGTAGGACCTCATTTATTTATAAGAAAAGGGTCACAAAAATTCAAAAATTAGTCCAGTTTACAAGGTCGATGCCCTTTGATATTGTAATTAGAATACAAATAATTAAATAAATGAAAGGGATAAAAATAGGCTCGCTTGCTTAAATTTCAAGCCATATCAACTGACTAGATAGATGGTCTAGTATTCATCTCTGATTAGTGAGAAAGTCAGGTGGAAAAGATACACCGTGAATGTGTATTGGTGACGATATGATGTTTGTGGATGCATGATTGATAAGCCCTGATATGGTCCATAATTATTGTGCTTCATTTGTGTTTAATTTTGTTTGAATGCTAGGTAATTGTGGTAGGTTAACGTTTAGTTTGATGTGTTTGTGATTGTAGGAAGGAAAGATGGCCTAGCCGCCTAGGCATGCATGAGCTTGAAGAGATGACAATTTGGGAAGATATGAAGGTAAAATGGTCCAAAACGGAGGGTCAAAAGCATGGCACGAAGCATGGGAGCAAAAGTGGGCGAAGTCAAAAGCATCTTCTGGAGGAGGTCACGATCGAGTTCACGGCGTGAACTCCAACGTGACGATGCTGGGCAGTCTCAGGTGTTGGACATCACGCTGGTGGTCATGTTTGCTAAATAACGTTTTGTCTTAGATTATTAATACTGATAAGTTAAAAACGAAAAAGTTATTTGGAATAGTTTTTTGGTATAAGCTAATTGCATTTTCTTTTTAAAAATCTAATTACTCTTATTATTTATGGGTTGTTGTGGTGTTTATGGTTATTCAATTTTAATTCAAATTTATGCTTTCAATATTTAATTACTTTTAATTAATAAAAGTAAAAAATAAAACTTTTAATATAATAAATTACATCAAGAACAACATACTACTACTACAACAACAATAATAAATAAATAAAATAAAATAAACTTATTTTAAAATCGATATATAAAATTTAAAATAATATAAGAATAACTCAATAAATAAAAGAATATTGTATCCCTTAAAGTCATTTTACAGATTATCCACTTACAGTAAACAACTAGTTTACCAAACATTTTCATACAAATCGTTAATACTACCAACGAGCAAATTACACTTTTGGTCCTATGACTATAGGAGGCGTGTTAATTTTGGTACGTGACTTTTAAAACTAACAATTTAGTCCTTTAACTAAGATTTTTTTAGCAGATTTGGTCCTTCCGGCTAAATTACCGGTGAAAATTGGCCGGAAAAATATAAACTTTTTATAAAAAATTATTTATGGGGGCAAAACGGTCATTTTACGTTGTAAAAAAAGGAAAATTATTTGTTATCACTGTTACGCTCTGTGTTTCGCCCGTCGGCGGATAGGAAGTCCAGTTCGACAGCTCGAACTTGAGACAAGCAATGCTGAGTTGCGCCATGTCACCGTTTTCTAGAAACACAGAGCGTAACAGCAATCGCAATGGCTCGTGGAAATCATCTCACAATTTTGAATATAGAAACTCGTCGACGTCGGTGAAGATCATCCATGTACACGAGCTATTAGCGTATATTGTGCTTCTTGAGGTGAAGTTCTCACAAAATTGAAGCAAAGATAGTCCTGAAGAAAAACGTAAAAGATAGTCATTTTTTTCTTTTTTTACAACATAAAATAACCGTTTTGCCCCCACGAATAAAAATTTTAAAAAGTTTACATTTTTCCGGCCAATTTTCACCGGTGATTTGGCCGGAAGAACCAAATCTGCTATAAAAATCATAGTTAAAGGACTAAATTGTTAGTTTTAAAAGTCACATACCAAAATTAACACGCCCCCTATAGTCATAGGACCAAAAGTGTAATTTGCTCTACTACCAACTGATCAAAACAACAAACAAATCAGTTATGAGCTAACAATTGATTGTCAAATGTCCCTAAGAGTTTACCAAATAATTTATCCACATAAATGAAGATTACATATAAGTTTTTATAATTTAAATAATATTCAAAGAAATGAAGGGATTCAAACATCTTATTTAAAAAATAATAACGTTCTCATCAAATATGCAAGTAATGATTTGGTTAAATGAAATACTTTAAAACAAGCCTAAATCATTGGGCCAGCCTAGTCTGCTACATAATTAGAAATTTTGAAAACAGTCAAAAGTAATTCGTATGGGTTAGCCCTACTAAGAGGCGAGCTAGCCTGTCATTATTATTTTTAAAAAATTCTTTAAATTTTTTAATTCACCGGCCCTAATCCCGAATCAATAAATAGTAAATAATACAAACCTTAAATCCTAAATCTATAGCCTCATCGTCTCGCCGTCTACTCATTTCTTCCTTGACATTTTCCTCTCCTTCACAAACAACCAACAACAACACCGAAACAACTTCGCTAACGCTACCTTTGACGTAGATTCAACCTTGATGAAGAGTGGCACCTTATGGCTAAAGTAAGAGATTCTCTTACTTTGTTGTGTTTGTTATTAACTTCTGTATATATGTGTTTTCATTTCTTGTGGCCGATTCCATTTTTGGAAATAGATAAGTGTATTATGTATTTATGTTGTTGATTATATTTATTTCACATTATATTTGTGTTGGTATGACTTTCTTTGCTCTAATTGTTAGTTTTTAATTTTTCATTTTATTTTTCTTTTAAATTATCAGTGGGAACGACGGGTTGAAGTTTTTCTTCACATGCCTCTAGCCCGCATCGACAACTTTAGTAAAAAATAATTTATGTCTTAACCTTATTTATGAGAGAAATTTCAAATTAAAGTTCAAAGAGTTAAAGGAATTTATGGGCTTGAGCAATGCAAAGAAGATACTCCAAACATTTCAATAACACATTATTCTTTATTTATTTTTGTATAATAAAATCAATGCATGAAAAAATAACATTTAAAAATATCTTATTCAAATTAATATTTTAAATGACACATATATTGATATATTTTTTATAATATATCTTTTCAATAATTGTGTTATGGATCTATTATATTTATTAAATAGACATGTAGTAGTGACTTAATAAACATACAATCATGGTGGCCCGTCCCATTGCGGCTACTAGGGCTCGATA